GAGTCAAGCGACACATGGTCACATGTAGCAGCGGTCACTTGGATTTCGGCTGCGTTCCCGGACGGTGATACAACCACTAGTGCTACTTGTCGTTATCATATTTGTTAATATTCAAGTTCAGTAATAGTTAAAATATTAGAATAGGCAAAAACGTTAGAATTCTTATAAGATACGAACCTGCTTTTTCGGGTACACACCCAAACGCTATAGCCAACAGAGATAAGTGGTCGCTTAGTCTAGCGCTACAAAACCCTTTATCGATAAAAGATTCTCTAGAAAAAAGAAGTAGAAGAAATCGTATACTATCTATAATCGTATACACTTATAATACGCATACAGAATTATAATTTGATTTGAAACGATGATAATAATGATAATGAATGATAATGATAATTCTCACTATTGATGATCATGGTTTCAGCCTGTTCGAGTCCACTGCTGAACACAGGCCTCCCACCATATACCACGAGTCACGATCCTGAGCAATCTGCATCTATCGACTTCCCCCAGACTTGCACAGGTCGTCATTCCATTTGGTGGGTGGACGTCCTACACTACGATGGCCAATACGAAGTTGCCATTTGAGAACCTTTCTTCCCCATCGATTATCAAATCTTCTAGCTATATGGCCGGCACAATTCTGGGCTATTCTCACTATTAAATTTCGTATATTTCGAAATACGCTTTGGCAATTTTCTAAACAAAAAAAGATCATGTTATATCTTCTGAAATTTGCTGAAATATATTCCGATATCATCTGTTACGACACTAAAACGGTTGCATTAAATAGTTCATAAATTAACTCGACGTTTTATTACTTTAGCAAGAAATATTTACCGATTGCGCAATCTTCGCGGCCATTAATGGACGGGATAAGTAGGAAGTGGTTAATTTGCTCGGACTGCTTCAGTCGCAGGTATGCAAATGAATATTCGCCGAGTTCATTAAAGATTTAATATTTTGTAATATTTTTATGAAAAGATAAGATTATAATTTGTAACAAGATTATAATAATTATTTGTAATAAGATTATAATTTGTAATTATAAATATAACATGGTTTATTTGTTTATTTATGTGTATTGGGTATTCTGAAATCAATCAACAGATTTTATAAGAATTGAAAACTAACGATTACTGACACGAAAGTATCGTAGCCTATTATACATATATATTTTTTAAATTTCAAAGAAAATTTTAATTTATTTATCAAACCTTTTTTATCGTGAAATGTTGAATTTCAACGTATAAATGTTTGAATATTTACTATTTGCGTTAAGTGGTACAATCTCACTGCAATAAAAAGTGCGCGAGCATTATGTCTACTTAAGAAAATAATAATAAAGGATTTTATTTACTATTATTGTCTATAACCATAAAAATATTAATTTCTATAATATAAATCGATTTCAACCTTGCTAAAATTCTTAAGAAGGTAATAGGTAATAGCTTGTTAAAATTATAACGAAACCTTACAATAAATATGTTTTTTTTCAAAAGTTATTTTTTGAGTAGATTTCATTTAATTAAAAACATTATGCAATTAATTTTATTGATAGACTCAAAAAAACTAGATTAATCATTTAATTCCACCAACTGCAAAAGATCAAATCTGAAAATAACGTGAAAAAGCTCTATGCTCTCTGTATTTGTGTTGACGTGCAACCATTCTGTAATTAACTATAAAATTGTTTTATCCCAAAATGATTCAATAAATGTGCAATTCTCTATTAACATTAATATATTTCAGCGGTGGTAGGGCCACGCCGCAGCCTCGGCTGTTGCAATAATGGGCAGGCTCGTCCGGGTAAGTACCACAACCTCATTCGTTGTTCATTTCATGTATACATCATATATAATATTTGAACGGATCAGTTCGATGGTAAACTTGAAATCGAAAATTCAGCCCGCGGTCAAACCGACGCAGACGAGGCCCGCCTTCGCCTAAGCAGTCGCCGCCTAAACGAGGAAAGCAAACAGAAGACCGGCGTCAAGTGAAAGTATACTTTCGCGTTTCGTCTGATGCGTGAGGTAGCCGGAGCCCAATTTTCAAAAGGTTGTCAACGCGTCTGCAATCCTCGGGTGTAGCTGATGTCCAAGGGTGGCGGTATTCACTTAACATCAAATGAACCGCCTTGCTCGCTTGGCAACTTTCATTAAAAAAACACCCTTAACGGATGGTGTTTTTGAAGTAATTTACATTAACATTTAAATTATTTATATCTGTTTGTTTTGGTAGGTTTCGTACAGATATAAATGAATTGAAGAATTTCCCCATTAGAATTGATAATAATATCAAAGGCCGCCAAACAAAGGAACAAGTTAAAACGTAGGCTGGAAGCGGAACGACAGCAACAAGAAATTATTAAGAAAAATCGATCATTCTGATTGTTCATTACTCGTGAAATGATGATATTTTAATAGAAATTTACTAACCGTGTCATGGAAATTGAATCTATTTAATTAACAAATATCTTTTGAGCTAACTAAGCCCGCGTTTTAACGTCAATATCTGACCTAAATTAAATCCTCATCAACCCGAAAGATGTGGTAGTATTCTATCGGGCTTTATACAAAAGAATTCTTTTAAAGTCGCTTTAAAGTGCCGCGCTGTGTATTGAAAATGAAAAGTATGAAATGTTTTTATTAGCAGAATAAATTTCTATGGCCAGGAAACCAGTTCATCCAACCACATTAGTGCCACTGGTAATTATTATTTATAAATACGATAAAAGGTCAATGCATCGATTTTATTTAAGGTTTTGAAAAACGACACAACACTTCGTTGGTGCCCTTAAAGATCATAAGCGAGTAGATTCGATTTTATAATTAGAATTTAACATATTAATATTGTTTCGTTTTAAGAGTTGTTAAAATACTTTATTTACACACACGTATTAATATAATTTCAGTGCAAGACAGTGAGACAAACTTATAAGTATGTAATTTTTCCTTCGAATTTCCCAGTTCACCTTATTATATTTTTTACATTATAATATTGAACGTATGTAAAACGTAACCTTGCAATTATTAACATATTGTAAATATGTAATGAAATTGATTTTTTAACTAATATCGTGCGGATAACATACTGTTAGATTTATTGCGTAACTAATTTCAGTTAAAACGTCCGATAAAATGAATGTATATCACATATCGATAAACGCGACAACAACCATGCTATCGTTCATTTGTGTTAAAATAAAATATACGATCTTATGTGGTTCTTATGCAAAAAGAGAATTGTGAATCCTTTTAACAAGCTTCGATATATTTTGTCCGTTACATTAAGAGGATCTTATTGCAGTCGATAAGACATTTAAGGATTGGTGACTCAGTTTTGAGCTCATCGTTGCTTTATTATGTTAGTGATGATGTAATTTTTATAGGTTATGTCGAAATACATAGACTCGTTAGAAATTCTAATAACACTTGTCTAACATGAACAACTAACATCAAAATTATAAAAGAAATATCCTAATCCTATAAATATCCTCTTATACTAAGTTACAGGTTAAAAAAATTGTTACATTAAAAGAAAAAAATCGTATGTGATCTTGGTTGTTACCTGTTTGATAATATATTTATCGAGGTAGAAAATAAAAATATATACAATTTATAAAAAATCATAACGTTACAAAAGGCGTTAACTACGCCATTTATAATTGAAGTCTGTTTAAACCGAAGACAGAGTAAAACATCCATAATCGAAAAGCGCACACTAATTAAAGGACATCGGCCTCATTTCTGTAGAATGGACCTATAGAATGGACTGGACCTGACTTTTATTTTCAGAATCCAAAAATAGTATAAAAAAAACTATAGTGCGGTTGGTATGTTTTCAGGTAGAGACTTAAATCTTATTTTTTGAGAAACTATGACATTAATGGACGCTACCGACTCGTTGTCAGGTCAAAGATTGCATTAAGCTCAGTGTATTTCTGTGTGAAAAGACTATTTTCATTTTGCTGCAATTAAATTCGTAAGAATTTTCTTGATTAAGGTATTACCTTGATTATCTTGATGTCAAAAAGTTTAAAAATAAAATAATTAAACGTTTTGGACAGCAATATAACTTGCGCGAAAAGAAGATAAAGAAGTATGGGTACATTAAAAAAAAATTATGTGGTAAAAGTAAGGTTCACCTCCATTTTACTGTTTTTTTAAGGATTATTAGACGAAACGTGAAGTTCTTTGTCAATGTCTTGATTTGCGTATAGTAAAAAGTAACGTCAGTTTAATTTATTTATTTTTTCGAAGAAAACTGTTACTTAGTTTTCTTGGTTCACTCAATTTCCTTTGAAGGGTATCTGAATTTTCTTCGAAGACAAATAAGTAACAGTTCACTCAAGTTCCTCTGAAGGGTATCTGAAAGGCGTATTCGCAATGAACTCGAGAAAAACAAGTGGAGCTGCAAAAGACGGTCGTCTTAGCCGCAACATCGGTTACGGAAAATCGATTGAAGTTAAACCAACGTTCTTTTTCTATCAAATCAGGAACAGAAGACAATATAATGAAATAAATGAATATATTATTAATTGCGAATATTTCAAAATTTTATATACTTTTTATATTGATATGATTTTATAGAATTTGATATACGATTTTATATATTTGAATTGTCGAAAATAAAATAATTTTTAAATTAAATTATATTTTCGGTTTATTACTATTTAATTCTTCCTGAAAAGTTGATTACTGTAAATTATATATAGCACATGTAATATTAAGACCCTTCAATATTTTTTTGAAATGTTTCATTTGTTCTTTCTTTTGTACTGCGCAAAATATTTACGCAAAGATGTCTCGGCGTTTCTTAGGAGCACGGGAGGGCTTTCAGCCGGACCGCGGCTCCTCAAGACGCCCATTATGTAACACCCACCCAGAAGGAGTACTTAGCGGCCGCTTATGTAATTAAAACGCTCAGCAGCACAACACCAAGCCCGCTACGGGGCCGGGCACGGAGCGTGCGAGTGAAAGGGAACAACTAACCAATAGAACATGAGAACAGTCGAGTGCGGAACACACGTTTGTTTCGTTGGCGTCGGGTCCGGGGTTGGCGATGGTGCCGCCGGGGAGCGGCGCGGCTCGGCTGCGGCGGGGCGTGGGCTCGCGGTCGCGGGCGTCGCAGCGCGGTCAGCGGGCGCAGTGGGCGCAGCGGCGCGGCGCGGCCATGGCGGCGGCGGCGGCGGGTCGCGCACTGCCGCCGCCTCGCCCGCCGCCGCGCGCCGCTCGCGCCGCGCACGCGCCCGCCGCGCGCGGATTGATCAGCCGGGCCCGCGCGGCCGCGGATCTATTATCGACGCGGCGTCGCTCGTTCGCACGGATCGCGTCGGCAACGGGCGCGGATTCGATTGGCGCGGGCCATTCTTCGACGCCGACGACGGCTCGGAACGACCGCGGCGAATGCGTTCACCCTGTCCGAGGGGGACACTACCGATTGGTGCGAACGTGCAGGATATTTGTAACTTCTGCCAAATATTGGTAAATCAAAAAAAAAAAATATTGAACAACTACCCGATTTGCAAACCTTTCTCCTCTAAAGGGTGTGGGTTCGATCCACACTACTGAAATATTGCATAAAACTTCCTAATTGTGTGATGAATACAGATTTTCCAATGTGGGTGTTTTTATATCTTTTATACGTATTTACATACAAAAGAAAAGTATGTTTATCAATTATCTAGTACCCATAGTACAAGCGTTGCGTAGTTTGGGACTAAAGAGCGTTATCTAAAAATGGGTACTGAAATATTTAGTTATTTATTATTACAGAAATACCTTTGCAGTTAATGCACTGCGATAAGTTTATGCAGCAACTGCTGCATACTCTTCTTAAGTGAATGAGCAGGTTTGCCCAGGGAGCTCCGGTTATACTCCGAGTAAAATTTAAAGCATTGTCCTTATTGTAGGATAACATTATCCTGTGTTGTAAGAACGTTTTATATAAATAAAATTCACGTCCACAAACACCCAGAAGCGAAAAAATTATCTGTGGGTTACATAATTTTCCCGTTAATTGTCCCATGTGGAAATCGAACCCATCGAGCCCCGGCGTTGGAGCCATTACTATATTTTATTTTTATTTTTTAAATGGTGTCAATCATCAATGGCATTGATGATTGACATCATTTAAAAAAAGGCGTTTGAGATATCATCGCTTAAAATCAACCGCTGCTAACTTTTCAAGTATTGGAAATATCAAATCATAATGACAAAACGAAAACACTTATTCGCACCACGCTCCTTTCAGTCAACATTGTCAATTGGTTGCAAAACATGGACCACTGATCAATTCATATTTACTTCTAACACCCAAAAGTTTGCTAATTTCTACTGATTGATGCTTATGATTTATTTGGTATCAAATAGTAAAGTATATGTAGTAGATACCATTGCTGAGGAAAAGGACTTCACATAACATCTTTTGTTTGTTTCTCTGATGTTAGTCAAGTCAATCCTTACTATCCATACTAATACTATAAACGCGAAGGTTTGTATACATATATGGCTATGTGGACGTTACTCTTTTAGGCAAAAAGTACTGAATGTATTTTAATGAAACTTTACAATTTTATATTTAAAAAAGACGTAAGGGTCCTCAAAGTAACTTTGTCTGTCCGCCTTCAAGACTAAACCGAAGAACCAATTTTCATAAATTTTGGTTTAAAGATAGATAGAACCTTGAAGATGAAAATTAGCTATGCTAAGTCGCAGGCACCAGCTAGTATGTCAGTATTGGTAATAATACTAAAATTCACAAATTTTATTTGTGCGCCTATCAAGATTTAAATACACGTTTTTCGAGCAAAACGAATTAGACCGGCGCCCAAATCTTGGGCTACCACTTATGAATGAATGAATGAATGAAATATACTTCATTGTACACAAACAACGGACATTGCATAATCAACAAAAAATAACACAAAACTGTACAATAGCCGCCTATTTATTATCCTTAAAAGGCCGCCTTATCGCTAAAAAGCGATTTCTTCCAGGCAACCTAGTAAAAGGAGATAGTAAAAACAGTAGCATCGGGTAACGGTGTACACTGAATTCATAACAGAAACTAATAAGTTAAAATATTAATACATATTAATAAATTATACATAAATACACATGCAAACATCATATATAAATATATACGTTAAAAATAATGTATAAATATATAATGTAATGTAATAATAATGTATATATAATAGATATAAGTTGACAACATCGAGGAATGGAACACAATGATTAAGGAGGCATAAAGTGTTTTCTTAAAAGTCGCTTGAAAATAGGTAGGTAGCGATTGTGCCCGCCTAATGTGTAGTGGGAACTGTCTGGTTCGAATTTTGCTGTGCGGGTGGATTTATTTTGTATAACCTAAAGTTTTATCAGATGCACTGCACTGCAAAATACATGCAAGTATATGACAAAGTAGGTCATACAGGTTTTTTAGAGAAGGACCTACTTACTGCTACTTACCTTAGTGGCTTTTGCTCGAGGAGTTAACCAGGCAATAGAGTCGGCCTGAAATATAACGCAGCTCTATTTCCAACGGTCCCAATGTGACTGGGGAACGAATTGCTGGCGTCGTACGTGACCCCAAAATGTTAGAAATTTTTCTCCCCAGGGTTCGGTGGGCCCAAAAGAATGATTAGCCCAAAACTCTCTGTATTTGGAAGCTTGCGAGTGGGCGAAGTACGTTTTGCCTATGAATGCCCGAGTATAATGGATGGCTACTCTCAACTGGGTTAATTCGATTCTTCATTTGAAAAACGAGCCACCGATGCCATCGCTTTTAAGCAAAACGTGTAACGTTTTGGAACGCACCTCCACTACCAATAGATCGCGCACCTAAAATGAGACACGAGCTTGTTGCACCAAAAGTTAGTAAAAGTAAAGTATCAGCCTATACATGTCCCATTGCTGGACAAATGCCTCCTTTGTACAGAGGCTATTAGAGCATAGTCACGCGACCCCACTGCGGATTCGTAGACTTCACATATTCTCGTATATTTTTTTTTGTTACTAACTCGAAAATATGCAGGTTCCCTCATCGTGTTTTCCTTCACCGCTGAGCAAGCGATAATAGGCGCAAAAACAGGCTGAAAATTGCCGAAGAGGGGCGTACGACATATCCGTCGAGATTCACCTGTCGCTTTACCTCAGCGGCGGTCACGCGATGCCGCAGTCCTGATACCATTTGATCGATATCGGGCCGTTATAGGCGCCCGGCCCGCGATTGTTTAGGTCCCCTTGCTTCTTTAGTCACGCGAAGGAGTTCCAGGCTTTATTAGTCGTAAACGGGTTTCGTTTGCGACGGTACTAATATCGATACTGCACACACTGCGATTCGTGATAAACTAAATAAATGTAAGCAATCTTTCGTTTCATTAATACGACCGCTGTTCTGTATTCTGTTACTTTGCCTATCAAGCGTAGTCTTGAAAACGATACTTCTCAAAAGCACTGATTTCGGTAACATTTGAGCATCGTCAACGACCTATTCGAAGGAAAGAAAGGCATTTAAGTAAAAAAAAAAACATGTTTTTGTAACATTTTATAATTGTTTCTTAATGATTGCGTAGCTTACATATAAAAAAAGACCAATAGAATTTTGCCAGATACCTTATAAGGTGCCAATTTCACAATTTAAACATAAAACATCAATATAGAAATAACAATGCGACATGATTAACAATTAATATTGAAAAAATTTAAAGAATTCGAAATAAAAAATACAAAATGGCGTAATGCTATATAATTGCGTCTTAAGGATTATACAGCTTAAATCTAGGATGGAATTTCACTGATTACAGTTTATAATGCGATCATCACAAATTAACAAATAACAACGATACATAAATAAAGTAGCAACATCGAATATCAAAGGAAGTGGAGTAGAGGGGTAATCCTGTACCGGGGGTAATCCTGTACCGATAGCACAACGTCGGACTTGAATTCACGACAGCATGGAGATAAACGTGGCGAAAAAGCGGGGGAAACGTGGCGAGGGGTGGGAAATCATTTCGAGGGGTTCACGCCCTGGACAAGTCGGACTTGATGATATTCACGACAGTATGGAGATAGAGAAAGTCGGACTTGATGATATTCGGGGAAACGTGGGGGTTCACGCCCTGGAGGGGTTCACGCCCTGGACAAGTTTGATATTCACGACAGCATCGGACTTGATGATATTCACGACAGCATGGAGATAGAGAAGCGGGGGAAACGTGGCGAGGGGTTCACGCCCTGGACAAGTCGGACTTGATGATATTCACGACAGCATGGAGATAGAGAAGCGGGGGAAACGTGGCGAGGGGTTCACGCCCTGGACTTGTCGGACTTTATGAAATACACGACACTATGGAGATAGTTAGAAAAGCGGGGGAAACGCGGGGAGGGGTTTAGGCCCTGGACTAGTCGGACTTGACGAAATACATGACACTATGGAAATAATTAGAGAAGCGGCGAAACGCGGCGAGTGGTTCACGCGATGGACTTGTCGGACTTGACGAAATACACGACACTATGGAGATTGTTGGAGAAGCGGGGGGAAACGTGGCGAGAGGTTCACGCCCTGGACTTGTCGGACTTGATGAACTTGTCCAGGTCCGCGTCGCTGTTGGGGTCCACCTGGGACAGCTGGCGGAAGCTCTCGTCGTCCACGAAGCAGATCTCGTGGTCGTCGGGGTCGGCAAGGATGATCACGCGCACGGTCGCCTTGCCCGGAGTGTCCAGGGAGATCAGCGGGGTCAGGATCTTGCCGTTCGCCTCGCGCACCTTCTGATCGATGATCGGCTGCTCCTCGAAGGGGCAGGAGAACGCGATGCGGCCGTACGCCTTAGCGTGGTTCACCGGTCCACCTTAGTCGCAAAGATAGAAAATGCATAAAAAAGTAAAGTATCAGCCTATACATGTCCCACTGCTGGGCAAAAGCTTCCTCTGACTTCACATATCTTCGAAATATTTTTTTTTATTATTATTTCGAAAACATGCAGGTTTCGTCACGATGTTTTCCTTCACCGCTGAGAATGTGATAATTCAAGACTTGAAATTAAAAATTTCATTGGGACCGGCACCGGGAATCGAACTAAGGTTGCTCGAGTATATTGAATTAAAGGCGAGCGCCCGGACACTGAGCTATCACGGCTATAAAATGCATAGACCAGTGGGAATTATAGTTACCATTTACGATTTGTAAACTTCTTTGCATATTTATTACATAAGGAAACGCAATAAAGTATCAAGATTTTGTTTTTGGTGTAAACTTATAAATTTCTTAAAATGCGTATAGAAATTGTTCGCCGTTTCCAAATGTTCAGGTACGAATGCTGATTAGGCTCCCCTGAGCAGGATTCGAACCTGCGCTTTAATGGTAAAGCGCCCAGATGCTCTATCCCCTAAGCTAAGCGGTGGATATCCTTGATAATCTTGTATCTCAATTTCTGCAGCTACTCTATTTGAGATCGGCTTCGATTGATTGGGTTCAAGGTTGCAACCTCAGCTACATGAACGTCGCGTATAAGATACAAGGTATCAATTACATAATTATCCATGTTAGACGAGAAAATAGTGCGACATTCTAGTAGTATTATGCTCCCAAGGCTTTAGGCCGGCATTAGGCTCCCAAGATACACGCACTGCTTAGTTTTGGATCCATTGTTAATGTTTTGTAGTTTGAGGTTAGTTACAAAATTTTGTAATCATCTTCATTACTATTTTCTTTTTTTAACACATGTTTTGTAACTTACGTTTGTATCTACTTAGATAAACAAATAAATAAAATAAATTATGGAAACAATATATCTATAATATCTAATAGCATTATGGCAACAATATATTCAACAAGACATACCAATATCGACTAGTTCCAATTTCGCTTGATCGTCAGCAAAGCCCAGCACGGCCGACTTGTCCTTCTTCTCGAATATTTTCAGATTCAGTAGACCATTCCAGTAATCAACAGATCTCGATAAGTTTGAACTTGCTAAAGCCACCTTGATCACTGGATCTATAAAAAGAACAAAAATTTTATTTATAACATATTATGTCATCTTAAAATTATTAACATGCCACTTTTAAGTGCTGAGTAAAAATAACGAGCAGAGATTGCCTGATATTGTTACTACGGTACATAAATATGTCGCTGTTTAATACCATTTCTTGTACTATTATGCTACGTGATTCTTATTACGCAGTGAAAAACAAATATGACATCACTTGCATACAATACAATTCACTAAACAAACATTGGGTATGACAACATATGAAACTAACAAAAATAATAAGTTTCCTTTCAGCTTCAAGGATGGCAACAGACCAAGCTGTTTGCCCAATGACAAGTATGGACCGTTGCTAATAGACACAGAAGGCTATAAATGTTAAGTGTAATGCCAAACAATAATAATACGGGCCTCTTTGATTATGAGAGGTATACAATTGAAGGTATGCCTACAGTTACCTCATTCCCCACATGATATATATAAGCCTAAATTCATTTCAAATGAAATAATGTGTATTCAAAGTCAATACACATTATTTCAAAGAGCAAATGAATCATTTGCTGCAGACCTGTTATATAAACTATTGTTCCATGTTGCGTTATAATGGTAAATCAAACTTGTAAGCAAGTATATCATCTCACTACACAAGTATAACATGTGACTTATAATTAAACAATGTCAAATAGTATGACATGGCATAACATTGTTGTTGATAGTCATGCAAATTATTTATTATTCATATAAGTTCAGGAGGTAAAAATCGAGAGATGTTTGAATTAGTCATTGAAACATCACACCTAGCTGTCAATCATTACTTAGTATATTAAATTACATTAGTGATACCTTATATACCATGCAAATGTATATATATAAGCAATATGTTGGCTAGAGTATAATCAAGATTAGATTTTATTTAAAACATTGGGGATACTTTTGGTATATTTAAGCATTATCCACTATCCAATTTAACAGACACAGATTTGCGATATGTCATTTTGACATCATTTTATTTCAGAACATTTATACTGAATCCTAGGTATAAATTATATTATGTCTATTTAAAATTTAACAAAGAAAAAATCTATCTATTTAAGGAAAAACAAAAGCGGAACTCTAGAAATCATGCGATAAACAAATGACAACTTCATTTGATCAGATAAAGAATATAAACACATCACATCTCTATCAGTTGTTTTCAGCAAATTATATTATCAAAAGATATATAACGCTCAATATTTTTTTTGCAAATTAACATTTTGAAGAAATTATAATTAGTCATACTTTAAATTTTTAATAATTATACCAAATATATTGTACTTATTGTATATAGGTAACTATATAACCTTAAAGAATGTGTAAGTTGCAAGATAAACTAAAAAGGTGTAACAAAATCTTGCAAATACTTGTTATTTATGTTTTAATACATAAAATGAGAGAAACGTGAAAGAAATTATGGCGCAATAGTGAGTCATTATGTCAGCAGGGCATTCTGTCATTCTAGGCAAATAATCTTTTATGGTTTTGGTTTAATAAATGTAGTTAATAGATTTAATAGCAGTTTATTTCTATTCAAATAGAAACTCCTAACTTGTATGACTTATAAAGATTGATTCCTTATTGATTTAAAAAATAATTCATAAAAAAATGCTTACCCTTGTCTAGGGGTTGAGGCTTATCAACAATGTAGAACTTGTAACCACCGGGTGCTTTAACAAACTTAAGGCCATCTGATTCTTCTATGGGCCAATTTGTTGCTGTAGCTCTCTTCAAAGCTTCACTAGATTGTATTGTGATGCCAAGGAAATCATTTCCCTGTTCATAATGTGTAATTCCATAATTGTATGTGAGCTCTACTACAAAATGATTGTCTTCAGGGCCATAGCCAACCATAGTTTTACTCCACCTATTTGCATAAGGCCTGAAAATATAAAATAAAGACATTTTATCACAAGTTAACATTAAAATAAAATTTTGTAGAAAAATTAGGACAATTTTAAAGGATATGAGTATAATATCACTTGAAAATAAATAAGGCTACTATTAAATATTTTACAAACAAATAATTCTGGATTAAAGTTGTATTTTTAGAATACTAACATGCTATAAAAAATTATAATCAAGTTTTTTCTTTAAATTTATTATTAAGAAGCAACAGTATAATAAATAGTTTATTTCAGCAACTTACCCATTACAGGCTGCTTCACAACCTTCACTAAATTCTTCATGCCGTAGAACCTGCACAACATTTGTATTTTGAAAATAAACTATTTAATCTCTTTGTTGGCCATTCAACTAAAACTGTATCCAATTATGGATATATATTAATGGTTCCTATTAAGATAATTACTTTACTGAGTAACCGGTTTTCTGAGTCATTAATTTTGCAGAAATGACCTTGAATGTGCTTACACGGTTCATAATTAGAGTAACTAGAATATATATAGCAATTAAATAAGTGCATCAGGTTAATCCATATGAATTTGACAATAACTACTATAAGTTTAAGATGGCCTGATACTGAGGCCTGCCAAGATAACGGATCAGAAGGCCTTAAAGAACTATAATAATGTTACTTTACCTTCATACCCAGGACTTCTCTATAAAATTTTGCTGTAAGTGTCCTGTCCGCTACTTTAAAAACAAAATGTAATGCTCTTCCTCGAACCATTTTAATAATTTTATTTTATATTTTGGACGAAAATATTCTTTGATCTATAATGAATTTACATTAATTCAAACGGAGCAATAACGAACAACGACCACAAGTTCACTAAGCACAATAAGAACTATCAGTCACTTGTCATTTGTCATGTGTCAAAGTAACCTAAGCAACGTCATACCATTGAATTTGTTCATAATAAGTATAGCTTATTTCGTCTGTAATGTAATTCATTTTCTACTCTGTGCCATTTAGCCTTAAGTATGTTTTGCAATATTTATGTTCATAATAATTTGAAATCTAACTACCGCTTAGAAGCAAATTCTGAATCTATTCAAGATAAGATAAAAGATTAGATAACACAAATAGGAGAAAGTGCAGTCGCAAAATATTCCTAATGTTGGTACTCATAACATTTAACTTGAGTTTAGTGTGTATTTAAAGTTGCTCAGAGGCGTTTAAGTTAACTGTACAGTAATTTCATGTTTATGTGAAAAACGTGTAAGTACATCTTGTATTATTATATTTTCTCTTTTTTTTTATAATCCCTATAGTATTTGTCGGCATCCAAGGTCACGGTCTTGCATACATATCTTGCAATTCTAAGTTTCAACTTCAACGTGGGCCTCTAAACGCGCCAAGTTGTTATCGTCGTACGTCGCGCGCTGCAATCGAGAGATGCCTGGTACGACAAAGATGAAGATATTTTGGAATAGAATGCTAATCTGCCACAAGTTATTAATCATTGGAATATGTTACTTATTCCAAATTGTATGAATCAATCAATAAAATTAGCAGTTATTAAAAAGGTTGTGTCGAATCAGAAGAGGAAAAACAGTAATAGGACTTAAATATTTAAATACACGTTGTTAGATCTAAGCGGTACATTTACTCGTTCCGCTACGCTCCACTTCGCCTCGCGGGCTTACTCCACTCAGAACCACTGACACGAGCCTTGGCGCCGCATTTTTGTATTCACTCTAGGGGTAGGGACGACAAGACCACATGAAATTGGGATGCTTTGTGGCGGATCTGTCACTCACTTTGAACCTTACCCAATCCACTATGTATACATCAGTATATATCAGAATATCAGAATGCCATTATTACTTGTTCTACCTATTGCGTCAGAATAACATTAAATCTTACCAGTAGTGGCAGTATATTAATTTTTAATAAATGGACACTGGTCACACAGACACAGACTAGAATAGACACTTTCATATTTTCATTTCATAAGTATCTATATAGATATGTATTTTAATAAGCTGTCAAATACTTTTTTTTCTTAAATATTTATAGAAAGGTCATTGGATTTTAAATATTTAAAGGCTCTTTATTTAAACACCTCTTTCTGATCCAACACAATTTTACATTGTGAAATTGAAATCATAAGCAGCCTTTTAAACGAGCATACTATTGATGATATTAGTTTTATTAGGACTAAAATTCAACACATCAAAAATATTAGGCCAAGTACGGAAAACCTAAAAATAGCACATTGAATATATTGTTCCGTAGCCACGTTGCAAATAAATAGAAAAACTACTTTTTTATGTGAGGAGGTGGCAAGTGAGCTGGCGGTTCACCTAATGCTAAGCGATAACCGTCACCCATGGACATTTACAACCTTATAATAAAATGGACCCCGGCTACCTCATTCACCAGACGAACGCAGAAGTACGACACTTCGACTTCACACCGGTTTTCTATGAGGTCGTGGAACTTACCCGAACGGACCTGCCCATTTTTGCATGAGCCTAAGCTAGCTAAAAATTGGGGCAATATCAAATTTTAGTACTAATTCAAGTTCATTGCGGCCAAGCGGCATTAAACAAAAGGTATGCCTCCCGTGAGCCGTGAGCCGTGATAGCTCAGTGTCCGGGCGCTCGGGCAACCTGAGTTCGATCCCCGGTGCCAGCACCAATAAAATTGTTAATTTTAAGTGCTGAATTATCACGTGCTCAGCGGTGAAGGAAAACATCGTGAGGAAACCTGCATATTTTCGAAATAATAAAAAAAATATATATTTCGAAGATATGTGAAGTCCGCCAATCCGCATTGGGGCTGTGTGGTGGACTATGTCCTGATACCCTCTGTACAGAGAGAGGGTAGCAGGGCATATTACTTTGCCCAGCTGTGGGACATGTATACACTGATACTTTACTTTACTTTTATGCCGCCCGCTCCTTTAGGTTTTCTGTAATTGCATTAATAACATTTTTGAAATGCTTAATTTTAGTCTATAAGCAACTAGTCGAGTGTCTTACTTTATAAGGATGCTTAGGATCTCAGTTTCACCCTGTATACCGTGTGAATTTCATTACTTTTGTTTAATGGTAAAGATTAAAGAGAAGATACATGTGATTGTTAAGGATGAACAGTTTTATCATAATACGTGCTTCACGTGTATAATCTACACGTGTTTTCTGATAAGAACTTAAGTGTGCAAATGTAGGAATAGGTATATAACTGGGTTGAGAGAACTGGGTGAGTACAAAAAGGTTGAGGAAGATACTATTTTCTTGCCCTGAAAGTGATTTAATAATCAAAAGCCATTGTTGAATAATCCACATAAAAACTACATATAATTTCATACAGAAATACGGTTAATATATTTTCTCTTATAACTAAGCTACAATTATAACTTCGTGGGTAAGTCATATTTTTTTTTATATTTTCACTTGTTGCAGTAAATATAATCTAATATAAACCTCATAACTACATAGATATATTTCAAGATTTCTATTGTTTCCGCTACAGTCTGTAAATATAATGATATCAATAATATGATTATTTACTATCAGGTATTCCGTTCGTACAGGATATGATTTAGCAAGTTCACTTTTAAGTTCATTTTTAAAATGTTTTGACCGTACATTAATCGAGGAAATAATAAAAGTAAACTATTTTATTAGGTACTTAGAGAATAGGCGACAGAATGTGCTTTAATAAATGCCAACGCTTACATTTTATATAGCCATCTTATAACATTAATTATATTAAGGACTAGATTACATACATGTATTGCGCATTTTATGCACGAATAATAAAATTGTGAAATGAAATTCGGCCTCTCGGAAATAACACAGAGATATCATATTTCATTGAGAATTGAAGTTTTGATAACAAAAATAAAATTTAATATGGAATTTATTGGCATGTTTAAAGTAGATATATATATATAGTCAATTGGCTGGATCAATAGACACCTTATCAATTGACTGTGAATAGAGATATATTAACGTAGATATAATAGTATCCGTAAAACAAATACAATTAAAAAAGATAGTTCTCAAAACTTGTAAACAAAAGATGTATAAAAAAAAGTAAAAAATAAGACATAGTAGCGATCGAAGTTAAGGGGTCTTTAAATAATCTGTATTCAACAATTCGCTGTATTAAGATCTAACAATAACTAGTAGCCATTCAATAAAGAAAAAATAGGCGCAAATATATACTATCAAACAACATTGCATCAAGCAAAAAACACCTACATAAAATCTGGGCTGAGAATTTCAATAATAGTTTAAAAAAAATAAAGAAGAATTTAGGATCGTACATATCTTGTATATAAATAAAAAGGAATAGAAGCAGAATAATGAGATTTAAAAAAATGTAAAACTTTAAAGTAGAAAGAAAAGTGTGAATTTCCCAACCCAGAAACGTTTACGCAATTTACATAATGAATATATTCGACATAACCGAAGTCGTCTTATTAAAGAAGTAGTTTGCCAAAGCGGTGCGTAGTTCAGTTTGGTTTGTCCTCTTTGTCCTTTTCCTTTTCTTTTTCTTTTTCCTTTTCCTTATCTTTCTTCTCCTGAAGTTGTTGCAAATGAGCCGGTAGGGCCTTTAGTATCGCGTGTACCTTTAGAAGACAAATGTCATTAAGAAAACAAAGTCAAAGTCGATTAAGAAATAACAACATATGATAGGAAAGGTTGCATAATGATTTCAGTTGGTTATAAATGTTTTCCAAACCTATAAACATATGCCCGGTTTCTGAAACACTGATCATCGTAGAAGTTAACTAATCAGCTGTCAAATGGCTTTTCAAATTTCATTAGTGTTGCCAAAAGGATGGTTAAACTCTTTGAATTGATCATTCTGATCATTAAGAATATCATTCTGATCAATTCAATGATTCCGTTTGGCAGCTTAAATAACAATTGAAAAGCCATTTAACAGCTGATTAGTTAACTTCTACGATGATCACGCCTGGTTTCTGAAACACTGATCATCGTAGAAGTTAACTAATCAGCTGTTAAATGGCTTTTCAAATGCCCTAGTACCTCAGTACAGTGCCTTTGCCCAGTGATAGTACTTGTTTAGGCTCTTACTATAGTTTTTTTATGTTAAAAGTATCTAAATATCACCTCTTCAGCGACGGCCATAAGAACGAATTCGAATTGTTGTTTGGTGGCAACAGTGCGCGGTCGCTGGTCTCGGATGTGCTCGAGCGTTGCCGCAATATCGATCTCCTTGGCGCCCTTTGCCATGCGGTTAAGTACCATGTCGATTAAGCAGTATGTACCCGTGCGGCCGGCGCCATCGCTGTACAGATAATAAAAATAATATTTTTAAATATTTATTGAAATCGAGTAATATTTATTCATTTAAGGTCTGGTGCAGGTAACTTATTGTTTTTAACGGCATTCTGAATTTGGTTCTTCAGTTCTGTTTTCAAATTAAGAAAAATGTATATAAGATGTTAATGGCTTTTATGTAAATTGTAACACTTTTTTTTCGTAGCCTAGTACCCTGGGGTAACAAGTGGCTTCAATTTGCGGTTAATTGATGTACATGGAAGGAAACGATAGAAAATCTTTAATCCGTTTTGGGTTAATTTTTTTTCAATTTACTGTAGTGCCGTTAAGTAGTAAGGCATTTTACATGTTCCTACAATGCTGCTACCTACGTCAATAGTAGATAAACGTGGTAACTAAAAAACTATCTCCTTTCAAATGCCGCATGCAAAAGTCTAGACAGATTCGCGAATAAAGAATTTATCGACCTCGAAGTTCACTGACTTTCTATCGTCACATCTAAATTAATCAGTTTTTTGCGAAAAGATAAGATCTTGAGTACGTTATATAAAACAATACGAAGCAATTCAGACAAGTCGATAGCGTTTTGAAGATAAAACCTCATTCTGAAAGCATGCACGACCCTCGTGACTAGTGTTAAGTGTCATGAGAAATCCTTCCTTTAAATATATCACATCGTTATTTCTAACGTTTTGCGTCTGTGTCAGCATTATCGGAAAAAAACATGTGCCGGTTTAATAAGGATAATCAAATAAAAAATTGTATTGCTTCGTTATAACTCTCTTTTATTAAATGAAACCACACAACGCTTGCTTTACTTTTATTTTGGCGACGCTACGTATCTCTCCGAGGATATTCCGCAGTTTCACAAAATACCGGCGTGAAATGCAAGTACTTATTTTACGTTTGCGTTACGTCTTGCGAGTTAGTTGACTGGGGCCCACCAACTCTGGAAAACCTACCTACTCCCAATGAATCGATCTTTGTATCGATTATTTTGAAAAAACCCATAATAAAATTACTTACCTGCAATGTACCACGATAGGGCAAGATCTTCCTCTGTACGACTTGTTAACCTTCCTGCAAATTTAAATACAGTAATTTAGAAAGAAGAAAGAAAGAAAGAAATATTTATTCGTCACAATTACATTGTAGGAGAAAAATAAAGAACAAGAAATGACACTAGAATTGTAAAAATGTATGCACCAAAAAAGTCTCCGCTCAGTATATAGCCGTGTCAGACAATACCACGGGACTGGTTTCCTGCGGATACCTTGTAAGATAGCGTTCAGCTCCATGCAAACAGCCAACAAAAATAACATGGAAATAAAATAAAAACAATAAAATAGGAATATAAAAAGTTAAGTGCAATAAAATCAAAAATAAAGTATAACAAAAAACAAAATTATTAACAAAAACTTTAACATATTCTCTACACAATGATCGGTTTTACGCCGTCTTTTGGAAATGAACTAGAAACTTTTTGTATTTTGCTTTAAAGATAAGTAAAGACGAAAAGTTTCTAATAGGTGGTGGGATGTTATTCCAACGCTTTGTGGCGGAGTATCGAAAGCTTCCACGGAAAGCCGCAGTACTAAAAGTGGGGCATATTAGTCGGTCAGAAAGTCGTGATTGGCGCTCTGTAAATTTTAACTTGCCATACAGATATGAAGGACTTTGTTTATTTATTACACCGAAAATTACGGAAGCAAAATGTAGTGCTCGTCTTGATCGCATATTCAGCATGTCGCTTCGATTAAGGTATGGTGTTATACGAGACCGGCGTGGAATTGGAAAGCAAAATCGAGCACAGTGATTTGTTTTTTTGTACGCTCTAGTAAGCACCCAGCGATGACTGTATCTGCGTAATTTTATTTTATTTTATAAAGATGGATCCGCAGGTCTATATCCAGGAATTGACGTATTTGGTACAGCACTTTTAGCCTATAATAACATTGTTGGACTATATTTATAACATGACTTTCGACTCTTAAATGACTGTCAAGTAGTACACCTAAATTTCGAACTTCTTGAACTTGTTAAATTTTGTCAATTCTGACTTTTAGCTGTGGTCTAACAGCAGTTATTTGGCTTACTTGTGCTTTGGTACCTAAAACAATAAATTTTGTCTTTGTAGGATTCAGAACAAGACTGTTAGCTTCCGACCACTCAGCTATTCGATTAAGATCTTCCTTCATTTGAGTAACAGTTGTCCCTACTTCACTGGGCTTGAAAGACTTATAGATTTGTAGGTCATTTACATGAAATCAAGAAGCATTTTAGACTAATTTAAAACAAATTTTCTTTTCTTATTTTAGGATTACATTTTTAATAACCAAACGATAAATGTTATCTAATACGTTTTTTACCTTTCTGTTTTGTTTTGTTTTGTGTAAAATAATGAATAATTATATTTATACATATATAAGGTTTTCACAATACCATTGAAAATTTTAATTCCGGGGGTTTCAGTCTCTATTACCTCCTAAACTCCAGCAGAGCCTTTGTGGAGGACGGAACTCCGTTCTCGGGCCAGGACAAGAAGTGAAATTGGGTGACGGTTCGAGTTTCGCCGGTGCGTTGGTTCTTCAGGTAGAAGCTGCGGACCAGGTAGTCATCACACCAGATATGCTCGCTCACCAAGTGCACCTGCATCAAACGTTTAATTCGCAACTGGGATATTAGGACTGTATAGTGCGCAGGTCTTTATTATATCTGTATAAATCTTTATTATATCTGTAATATCTTGAGCCCCAAAAAGTATACATAAATTAAATATACGTTATGTCTGTATCGCATTGTATATACATCTCTTTAATATTTTACCCAAGAAACACTATTGTGGTAGTAGCGGTGTGACAAATTGTTTCTAGAGTTCTAACGACAGTATTTTCCTCTCATCAATGTGAATAAACAACAATAAAACGTGATGATAAAACATAGCCATTTCAAACATTAGCGTTACGTGCTAGTGGTATTTACCGTAAGTTAAGTTAACTCGTAGATGTGCGTTACCTCTTCGAGCCAGTAATGGTGGCAGTTGCTGGCCGTTCTCGGTTAGCGTTACGTGCTAGTGGTGTTTACAATGCGACAATCCTTTATAGCACTAACCTCGTAGATGTGGTAGACTTCGGAGCCCTCTTCGGGCCAGTAGCGGTGGCAGAGCTGCTGTCCGTTCTCGGTGAGACGGGTGAGCATTACCATGACCACGCTGCCCTGCTCCCACACCATCTGCCAGAAGTCGGGGGCCGTGTGCGCGAGGGGCCCGGCGGCCGCTATATACGCGGGGTTACGCGGGTCGTGGTCCGTCTGAGTGTAAAACAATGAAAGAGTCAGTAGTTACGCTGGAAGTTATTTTACACGTGGCTGCTATAGCAGCCTACATTGTGATCAACTCACTCGCTTTAAAACTTACTAGTTGTGATTTGATGAAGAACTTAGTACTGATCACAAGTTAAAAAGCGTCAGAATGATTGCAGTGAAATCAAAGAAATGCGTGACAAGACAGAAGACAAGCGTGTGTACGTTCACCGTACGTTCTTGTCGGCTAAAATATATAAAGACCGGTGACCGGTTATTCTAGCCCTTTGTAATTGTCGGCTAAGATTCTTTTAGGTTGTCTTGGCAGTCAAAAAAGATCAATAAGTTTTCTCCTAATCTATTCTCAAATAACCGTCAGTTTCGAGTTTGTGCTACTTACGATTGTGGAAGCATTGATGTAGTCAGATCCGAGGTGGTTGGAGAGCGTGTTCAGGGTGACCCTGGAGTGGTCGTACGGCAGGACGTCCGCGTATCGGTTCTTGCCCGTGTTCTCCGGCTTAAGAGCGGCCGCGGTGGCGCAAGGCTCCGCTTCGTATGCGCAGAGGGCGCGCCACTCTTGCTCCAAACGGTCCTTGTTGCGTAGGTGGTCCTCCATGTAGGCCTATTAACGCAAATCTTATGCAGCTTATGTATAATACAATTACAAATACCTCAAAGCCCGTGGATGGATTGTGTTTGGTAGAATTATTGTGATAACCATTCCGGAACTGCGTTCCGGGCATATTCCTTCAACTTTTTTTGATGAAGATAGTATGGATGTTTTATCTCACGAAGCGGGTGAAACATCAGATATACGTGCAAATTGTCTCTGCGTGCGCAGCCTCAGTGTCATCAGTGTCATCAGTGTCGACCGAGTTGCCCGTCCGGTTGGTAGTGCTAATTAGTTGACCACTCACCAAACAAAACGCAGAATTATAACACTTCCAGTTTACGCCGGTCTTCTGTGAGGTCTTGGTACTTACCCGGACGGACTTGCCCATTCGTGCAACAGTGAACAGTATTGCGTGGCCCTACCAAGTAAACGCAAAAAGTTATTAGAATTAAGGCAAGGCAATCCACTTCTGGCGTGAATAGGCGATAGATAGAGGAGACGATAAAACTTCTGTACCATCTTCTGACTGATGTATATGGATTAGTTGACGACGATCAGCACGAATTGACGGAGTATGTTCGGAAAGAAAATTCGACTGTCGTGTTTTGGTCAGGGTGCCTCTAAAAATGTTGGACTCGGTTATTATCTTATCCCATACAGTGTCAAGTTTAAAACATGACACAGATCCATTATCATTGTACGTACCAAATATAAAATAACTCATCGGAAACTGTCACGGACAGTGTAATGAATAACTCACCAAAACCATGTGTCCGGTAGATATGTCCATGTTAGTCAGAGCTGGTTCCTCGCTCCTGTAGAAAAAGACTTGTAAATAAACATGAATTTTTATGATGAATTTATTTTTATTTTATTCGCATGTTTTGATTTATATGTAAATTGGTAAAATTTCAATAGAGTAATCGTTCCGTTTTAATAATGTTTGTTACATATTCCTTTAATATGAAATCAAGTTACGAATTTCATTTTTAAGTTATACCTGTTGTAACTGTAGCCCCCCTTTATGCATATATATAATTAAACTTATATATATTTCTGCCCCGTTATACGAATAAATCATATAACATCATTACGTGACCAGGATAAATTATTGATCTTTCTATAGGATCTTTCTAAAGGTAATAATTAGCCGTATGAAATATTATTGTGATCGTCATATTCGGTAGGACCTCATTTACGTTGTGTTTATTTAGTAACTTGATTCTTTTAGGTGTATCTTGGATAGATAAATATTCACTAGTCGTGGTATAAGCCAGAGATAATGCTAGATTGCTTTCTTATTAAATAACCCCGACTCGCTTGAGACGGGCTCAGAGTATATAGCATACTCCCTCTCACGCTTGTAAAGGGCTCACAATATAATTTTAAACAAATATCCCTTCTCTCTTGAAAAGGGCTCACATCAATTTTACATACCCGATACAAGTCAACAGCTCCCCCACATTTTAAAAAAATGTAGAGAAGGCACACGGTTCCATGAAAACACTCACCAACGCCGTGTGCGGTGAGCGCCAACCAACATATTGTGCCCCCCCCCCCCCCCCCAAAAGAGGGACAAAAAGTTGGGGAAAGGACCGAAATCCATTGCAAAGCTGTTTTACCAGCATAAAGAGGGCTTGGCCCCTTGGCAGTGCGTAAGCACAAACTTTGACCGAAGTCGCGTATGTCAATGCGTGTAAACGTCATACAAGCCGACGACAAATCCAGTCTTCGTGAATGTACGTCAATACGGTGTTGGGCATGTGTTAAAGATCAGGCACTCTGGCCCTATGATATAATAAGCCCTCCGTAAGCGCCACCACTTTTGCCAGATCGCCGCGACTGCAGACGTGATTGTTAGTGTTTTGGCATCACCACCATTAAAAAGGTTAGCACGACATTTCGTCGCAGAGCGCGTTATGAGTCACTGCTCACCACAAGGGTATGGTTAAAACGTTGCACGGCATCGCCGCAGCCTTGAGAGGTTTTCTCCCGCCAGCTACCATCCACATGAGGTAAACGCATATGCTCCACCAACCATTGAAATAGTCAGATATAGCCATAGTTGTGATTTTTATGTTTAGCATCAGAAGTGTTTATGATTTGCAACATATATTTATTTGTCAGTGTCTCTGACGTTGAGTATAATGTATTTTTCGATCAAGTTTGTCTCACCCACCAGCAAGTTGCCATTATTCGTTCGAACGGTGGGAACTTTACTGAGATTCGTTAATAATGATAAAACGTATAAAGAGGTCAGACAGTCTGCAGTTCCGTCATCAGGAACCCGACTTGGACAAATCTACTGAGATGTGCATCAAACCGAGACGCAGACTCGGCCATTATGAATAGCGTCGTCTCCCAAGCAAATGTCGCAAGACGCAATGTCACTAAATGCAACATGCATCAAAACAACTATCGCAGGTCAACACGCCAACATACAGCCAATCCGCATACACAGCAGACATCATCACCTCGAACCTCCGTCAACCAGAATCATACGATGCAATGATATTAGGCGCAGAACACCCCGCAACTACCACAAGACGCATTACTGCATATAGCCGCACGCATCAATGTGACTATCGACTATTGACTATAGTCATTTAATATTTTACGGTTCCATCTTCCTATCGACCAACTTAGTAAACACTTAGTGGCTTAGTATCCTGGGAAATTGAGAAAACTCTAAGGCTATCTGTATCCTTTGCCTGTAAAATCGTGAGCCTCTTTTTTAGTTATTGGCGCATTTACAGAGCGGAGTTATAGAGCACTCTATAAATCCGTTGCTGCGGGTAACCTTAACACTTTGATACTTAAATGGAACCAATATATCAATGATACTCAGGATGTTTTAACGCTATTGTGCTAGTTGGGTAGCCAATATCATAACCCACATGATTCAAATATTGTGCCATCCCTACCTAGATGCGATTAGAGCAGGAGAAAAGTAAGAGATCTGTGAAAAGAATCGCGAAAATTAATACATTTACAACCTTATTTTATTTTTTTTTATTTATAATAAGATTTATCAAGACTACCTTAAAAAAAATTACACTTAGTTATAATCACTGTATTGTTAGTATAAATTGTATAAGTGTAACAACTGTTGGTATACCTCAATAAAAAATAAAAATATATGAAGAGTCTCGATCGAATATACGAGAGTAACTGAGCCGTGATAGCTCAGTGTCCGGGCGCTCCCTTTAATTCAATTTACGCGAGCAACCTGAGTTCGATCCCCGGTGCCAGCACCAATGAAATTGTTAAGTTTAAGTGCTGACTTATCACGTGCTCGGCGGAGGAGGAAAACATCGAGGAAATAACATGAGGAAACCTGCATATTTTTCGAAATAATAACAAAAAAGAAATATTTCGAAAATATGTAAAATCCGCCAATCCGCATTGGGTTAGCGTGGTGGACTATGCCCCATGAAAGAGGGCTATTTACAGAGGCCTTTGCCCAGTAGTGACTTTATATGAGGGAGTCAAACGTACCAGGACGAGGTGCTAGAGCGTGTAGACGGTGAATTTCCCTCGGGGTCTTTGGAGAGGGACGTGATGCGCTGTGGTTGGTCCGTCTGGTGCGGGGGCGCCGCCGGCTGACCCGTCCACTTGCCAGACATCCTCGCACGACAAAGCTCCTGCATGCAGCAGTCATTCGTATTCTTTGGTTAGAGTTTTGCTCATATCTCTCTCTGATACGATGACGAAGAATTGATCTACGTTTGCACCGATTGGACTTTGTTAATTTACTACAGTGTATTTGACAACAGTGCTCACGTATGCAAACTTTGCAAGTTTTTATTGATTTTTTTTTGTATTCTTGAAGTAGCCGGGTGAATTTGAGATTGATTTTGGAAGTTTAAGTGAAATCGATGTTTAATATACGTAAGTACTTATATTGTAAAATGTATTTTAATTAATGATCCCTATAAATAGATAGTTCCAGTGAAGGCATTTGCAACGGAGGACGGCGTCTTTGTTCTTATTTGTTTATAACGCGTTAATAAAACACTACATGGCGTCAAGCATTAGCTTCAAATGCAATAAATAATGCAGACAGATATCGATTTTTGCGCGTCATGAGGTCATCGATCGGCCGCTGAACTTAATTGGTAAAGCGTCTGGCCACATTACTCGGAAGACGCAGGTTCGATCCCCGCATCGCCGAAAACTTTTGCTCATTTATCTACAAAATTTCACATTTTAAGTTTCAACTTGAGTGCAGCGACTGGCACTAAAACTAAACGTTAATCTTAAAAAAAAATAGCGTGTCCAATAAAAATTTCAAGCCTATCACTTTACGAGGTTTTATAATCCAGCGAGCGTAGCCGCGGGCAACTGCTAGCGGACCAAAACCTCCCCGAAAAACAAATGGCCAACCTGGTAATCTCTCGTGGCCTCGGCGTCAATGTCGGCGGCGGACGCGAGCCCACCGATTTTTCGCTTTGCGTCCATGTCCCTCTTCAGCATAACCGCGAAGATCACGGCCCCCACGACCACGACGGTGAAACTTCCGATTATGGTAAGCAGGATTGGCAGATCGTAATCGAAATATGCGGACTGCGAGTCTTCAGTCTGGCTGCTAACCGGTCTCTTACTCTGAAAAATAACCAACCAGTACACAGTGAACTAAATAATTTAAAATTTAATACTAGGTTATCACAGAATTTCGAAAATAGTTGTATGTGTATACAGGGAGATTATAAATTGTTCAACGTTACTCAATCTAGATTAAGGAGTTTTTGACACACGTATAACTATATGCTATATGTATACATATGTGTGTTTTTCTATTTAATGTGAATAGATGGCAAGCGAGCTGGTTCATCTGATGTTAAGTGATAACCGCTACCCATGGACATTTAAAAAGAGATTTTCAGATGAGTTGCCACCTTTTAATAAAGTGGGCCGCGGCTACCTCACTCACCACACGAAACTCAGAAGTATAACACTCACTTCACGCCGGTCTTCTGTGAGGTCGTGGTACTTACCCGGACGGACCTTCTCATTCGTGCAACAGCCGAAGCTGTTGCGTGGCCCTACAACAGTTGACATATGATTGTATGTTACATTTCTTGACAATCTTCAATCAAAAAATATTGGGCACAATTATTGAAATTCACTTTTCATTTAACAATATTAAATAAAATTGTTATGAACGTATAAGGAGGGTGAATATAAAGACTTAATTTGTTATATTAGAATCACAATTGGGTGAATTCTGTAAAATATTGCTTAAAAAAATATACCCGATCTCCAATGCCGGTGGACAAAATCTGTGCACCGGTTTCGCGGCGTAATTCATCTTTGATATCAACTGTAAAAGGACATATATTATAAATTTCATTAATTTCTAACACCTCATTGATTTAAGTCAATATTAGGTATTTTTATAGTAATGTTATAAATTATTGTGATGTTAATAAAATATTACTAATATAATTAAAAAAAAAACTAACCAACTCTTCTTGCGACGTCTTCTGCTTCATATCCCTTACTGTTCTTCTCCACCTTAAATGTGACCTCTCCAGGATCGACACTGTAACAATACAATAACATTTTTTTTAACTAAGCAATAAATGAATAAAATAAAACTTTGTTAACAGTACTCGTTTTACCGTGGATTTGTGAAAGTATTTTTCTCTAATCCAGCATTTCTTCAAGTCTTGAAATGAACGCCAGGCCCTTCTCCCAGTCGGTCAAGAACCTATTTTATGAAAACTAGTATCATATTTCTGTATTCAGTTCTCATAATGGCATATGATTTAGTATTATATTAATTGATTTTTTCTAATTTGATTAAAATGTAACAAGGTGTTTTTATCTCATTTTAAACTACAAATTCTGTTTGATTCTTAAACAAGAATTCTGCTGAAATAAAAAATATGCTGTACCTGTTCTTAAAAAGGACATATGCATACGACGGGTCAGAGTCGTAATCGTTATGATCATGGCCTATGGAATTTGCCTTCTGATCAGGTGAAGAGGGTGCTAAAATAAAAAAATTATCAGATTAAGTAATTTAGGCTTAAGACTATCAAAAAGAGACACTTAAAGGCAGAATTGAAATATATGCATAATCTTGGCTATATTTATTAACTGTTTGAGCTTATGCAAATATTTCGCATCTTTAACACAGCAAGCTTCATGATTGTGAAGACAATTAATATTGAACACTTCATATCAAGGATGACATGAACTTTGATGAACTTTACAAATAAATAAAACTTTAGTTTCGAGTTTTATGGAGCAATAAATAATAGATGCAACAATTATATAACACGAACAAAATAAAATATCACGCAAAATATAAAAACAAACGTATACGCATAAAACAGAAAGCGATAGTACCTATTCCGAGGGGCATAAAACGTCATGCTTTTGCATTTTGACAAGAAAAAAAGGTGCGGATTCAGGGTAACATTTAGTGCGAAACTTCTAGAAAAGACGTGGCGGTGCAGTTATCGAAAACAGTGTAACGCATCAAATACACTCGGACGTTGAGCTAATCCTCCATAGATTGTAGTTCACATCGAGAGTCTAAAACAGGTACTTTAGGCCATCGTGACACTAACCTGTCACCGATTTATTGTGGTACAATATCTTTAAGGTTTTCGCGTCCAGACGCGGCCCGGGCTTTTTTACATCGTCTCTTTCCCTACGCTTAAAGCCCCATTCTCTATTAAGCAAATCTTGCAATTCTTCGGATAGATAAAATTTGGAACTTTCACCTGAAACATCGTCGGCACTTATAACGGTCCCGGTACGGTACAGTTTACCGGTCCGAGATTTCAATTTCACCCGTTTGATATTTAAACAGTTAATAAATACTTTTTTATCTTGGTTTCATAACAAGAAAAGAATCGAGAAGATCATTTATTTGCCATTCACTGTTATTTAAAACGGTAAATGATATGAACCTACAAACATTGAAAATAAAAGAGAAAGCAACAAAAATCGTTTTCTTTACAAAGAGTTGTGTTTTCTATACTTGACGCAGTGATGTTCTTTCAAATTTACCTTCTAAGTCCTCAGGTTTCAGTGGACCTCCCTCCGCATAAATCGGTTGTTGAGATTTCTGGTCCTTAAGTCGTCGCCAATAATTTAATATGTACCGCATATTCTCAGAATTTTTACCGTCAAATCCAGATGGATTGGTATCTGATGGAATACAGTTATAATAAGCTATGTGAAGAGTAAGTTATAAAATCAAATCAGAATGTTTAAATCTTACCCTTTAAAGTGTAAGGGTCATATTTGCCGCTACCTACATCCGTAGGCATTTCATCTAAGTCATCTGTGTCTATATAGATCCGCGGCTCTTGGAAGTCGCTAGGATTCTCATATTCGAATGGGAAATTTTTCTCAGCGAAGCTCTGTTTATACTTTTCAAGGGCATTCGAATGCACTTCCGCGTCTAAAGGCGAATAATGGCTTGTAAGATATTCCGCCGTAAAGGGATACGGTTTAGTTTTCAGCTTCCTGAAGTGAGCACCCAAACGCTCTTCGTCTGCGTACTTCTCGGAGTCACCGTCTCTGTTAGCATCGGGCAAAGATTTTTTCTCTTTTTCCAATGCGTTAAAATACTTGCCATCTTGTTCTTTAGCTTCTTGTTCCGCTTGAAGACGCTCTCGGAAACCTCCGAAGGGCATAATAGCGGGTGATTCTTCCAAACCGTTCATTAACATAAGGTTTCTTATTTCATCATTAGGATTTCCGTCTTCGGTATCCGATTTATCTGCATTTTAAAACCGTTAACCACATTTGTGTGTTAATACAGAATTATTTTTAGGCACCGTCGAATTGGATAAAACTATCGTCATAGTATTTTGACATTTAATTTTAGAATTTTAATTCCTGGTATAATTAACGATTTCAACAATCCTAGTTACGAGGAGGAACAAGGTGTTGGAAGTTATGTTAAAAGTCTTGGCCTAACTAAAGAAATGGTTTTAACCAAATCTTACCTTTTGGTATAATATAGGAAGTCGGGTCGTCGTCGGGCGAAATTGGTGGATTATAAAACTCATTTGCATAATCACTTAACGCTGAGTTCGGTGTGAAGTGCACGAACGCAGTTTCGTCAGGCTCCATCTGTGTGTCGACAAAAATACAAATACTCTGTAATTACTCAATAAAGTTTTAAAGAATTGCCACGATTATTGTGTACTCACGTCGGTGATTCCATCTTCAATTTCGGATGTCGCAGTGTTCAGTTTAGGGTCGGTGAAATGGTCACATAACTTTGAGTTTACGTTGCCGGGTTCCCTTAAGTCGAAAAAACTATGTCAGTATTGAAATTAATCCTTTGCTATAGCAACCGTTTTACATATGTAAGAGCATTAAAGGATAATAACTCAAACAATAGTGTCGAAAAAAAAACAAAACGTCGAAAGTATTTTTTGAGTAAACAAATATGATAGCTTACTTTTGATGTAATTTATTAATAAAACCGTGAGAGGATATTATATTTAAATTTAATTTGCAGTTACATAACATCTAAAACACATAAAACACTTACACATTATGTCTGAGAGCATAGAGCATCGCCTGAAGCACGCATTGGGTATAGGCATGCTCCCAGCGATACCCCTGAGTCGCTAGCCGCTGTAATTCCCCTTCGAACCACTGCAGCTGTTGCGAGCTCATGTCATATCTAAATCCAAGTTAAGGTCAGAATCAATAGTCCTATGGACTATTGATATACATGCATGTTGTTCAGTAGAAGTATTTTTCGGATGTTGTCGTGTTTAATTTGTGCGTCCCCAGTTATGGCACAGATTACGTATCTACTGTGAGCAGTAATATGGTCTAGGCATTTCCCGAGACGTCGGAAATTGAAATATAATTAAAACGTGATAGAATAGGTGGAATAATTTTTGTGTCGCGTAAAAATTGAAAATATCACACAAGAATATTGAGAGAAAATATAAGATTTGTACAAATCCGAATACAAAAAATTTAAGGCAATAATAAATAACTAACAACAATAATTGGGAAGCTATAGACATTCAGAAGTCACTTACTGATAGAGCGAGCCATCCTCCGGATCGCTTTCGTATATCGGTATACATTTACCGAAAGCGAAATCTATAAATTGAATAGTTTATTTCGAATTAATAATATGTCAATGATTGACTCATATATGATTTTTTATATTTTAACGTACCATCGTAACACCACTCCACTCCTTCTATGCATAGAGTTGCGCTAAACAGGCACCCTGTTGAGATATACATTTACAATACTTTAATTAGCAATTTAGACTTCAATAGATTGTGTTCATCAATGGAGGACCATTTAATTTATACATTATTGAAATAAAAAACAAGTATTACAAAAATAACAGGACTCCGCGGCACGGACATCAAAAGTGAAGCGCATATTTGAAGCACAATTTTCTAGTTCGTGGATGCAAATATAAATTTATTATAGCTCGTAGTTAGACAATTTTTGCTAATTGTTCCCTTCGTTTTAAATAAAATTTAATTTAACCCAAACGAATTAATTACCAGAATGTGGTTTATGATCATTATGCTCAGAAGCCCTTGGTTGTAGATCTGATCAGTGAAGTGCTTCTGCGTTTATTTAAAGTAACAAATATCAGTATGCCTTAATAGTAACGTAAAAATAATCAGGCACATCACAGTTTGTAGTATACATGTGAATTTTGTGCAAAATTGGAATGCAAACAGACTCACAATCGGCCAATAACATTATCAAGCATCTTAACGGACACGCACTTCGTTTCTTTGGAGCATCCATTAATTACGTGAGGTTGTCAAGCCAAACCTCACCCAATCTCACGTGGGGGAGAGGGTGGTCTCGGGAAATATGACGTAATTTTTTTTTCCAGAAGAAACTGTAAAATTGCAAGAAAATTGGATTAAATTAAGTAAAAATATGCAATATCGCGGTTTAATAATACACTGACAGAAGAATTTTTTAAAAAAAGTTAAAAATGAAGAATTGTTTTCAATTATTATTTTAGGTTGTGAAATGCGATGTTCGAGACAGCTACCGCCCACGCCGGAGTGCTCTACATATGATTCTTCATGACTGTTTTCCGTCACCTCCATACCCTATCACTCAGGTTGATGTGCATCCGACAATCCCGGACCCTGAAGAGCATGACAGAAAGTTATTTGCTCTCTTCTTGGTTCGCCATTGCCTACCGATTCAACCATTGCATGCCTTGATCAGCATGCCGGATGATCTCTATGGCCCAAGTGTACGTGGTGATTTAGGAAAGATATGCTGCAGTACATGCGGTATCTACTTTTCATCTATCGAGACTCGCAGAGCATCGGCGTACGGTTCTAGTGTACCAGCTGCACCAGCGCGCAAAGTGCGATCCTCAAGGATTGGCACACGTCGAGCTACTGAGCTTTTGTGTGCAAGCGATAACGGATTAGAATGGCTTAATTTGAGCGAGGTTGAAGGAGGAGATGATTTTACTGAAAATAACGTGGATATGTTGGTTCCAGATCTTGCAGAGATTCTGCCATGATGACAATGTCGTCAGCGAATCGCAAGTGTGTTATTAATTAACCATTAATATTAATGCCCCGTCCGTTCCAATCCAGCGTCTTGAAGACATCCTCCAATGCATTGGTAAACAGTTTCGGGGGAAATCACATCCCCCTGTCCTTACCCCACGATGCAACTAGATTGGCCTTGTGCTTTGACCTTGTATGTGGACGGACATTGTTGCGGTCTCAAATAGACGTCTCAACACTTGGATATATCGACAGTCAATTAGGCATCTCTGTATAAATTCTAGAACAGCCCAGGTTTCGATTGTATCGAAGGCTTTTTCGTAGTCCACATACGCTAGGCATAGTGGCTGGTTGTGTTCCTCGGTCTTCTGAATTATTTGTCTAAGTGTATGTATGTGATCCACTGTGCTGAATCCTTTACGAAACCCGGCTTGCTCCACGGGCTGGAAGTCATCAAATTTTTGGGCGAGACGATTCGTTATAACCCTCGAGAACAACTTATATATATGCCTCAAGAGTGATATCGGTCTATAGTTTTTCAACAAAGTCTTATTACCATTCTCGAAAAACAACATAACCACACCTCTGCTCCATGCCTCTGGTGTAATGCCATTATGGAGGACGGAATTAAAGAGCTTAGCCAGCTCCACCAATACTGGTGTGCCTCCTGCTTTCAATAGCTCTGATGTAATTCCGTCCTCTCCCGGAGCTTCGTTGTTCGCAAGTTGTCTGAGGGCAATACTAATCTCGCCCATGTCGATGTCGGGAATCTCGTCTGACAGGTGGCGTGTGATTCTAGCTCGAGGATCATCCGCATTGTGGGAGTGAGGTGGAGGTACTTAGGAAGTATATAGGTCCCTATAAAACTTTTCGACTTCAGCGAGAATCTCTAGCTTAGAATTGACGGTGGTTCCGTGAGCTGTTGTGAGTTTTGACAGGTGACAGCAGGAGGTTTGAAACTTAGCAAAGATTTTTGAGCCCCCGTTGCGCGATATAAGATTTTTAATCTCTTGGGTCTTCGCTCGTCTACAATCTCGCCTTATCAATTTCTTAACCTTTCTGTTAAGTACCTGACGCTCAGAAGCTGTCACAAATATCACCTCTCGTCTCTTCATCTCCTGCAGAGTATCGTTTGAGAGCTTCGACTTTCGTCCAGTGCGATTTGGTCGAAAATATTTTTTCTCCCACTTCACGGATGGTCCGCGTTAGACTATTGGTGGCTTCGTCAATGTCCTGCGTGTTTCCAGCAAGGCGTTTTTGTAGCTCTAGCTGAAAATTTTTACATTCAGCTTCAACCTGGGGCAGTGATGGTCTCAGAGTCGCCTTCACCAGTCGCGCACATCTTGATATTTATATCCAGGGTGTAAGACGGTGACCGCTACCGGTAATTACCCTATTGATCACTGAGACATCACTCAATATATGGCGCTTATTGGACATAATGAAGTCACCTTACCGGGGCTAAGGCAGGTCCACTTCCTCTGAGGCTTTTTCTGGTAGTAGGAATTCATCAGAAAAAGCCCCTGATCCTCGAGGAAGTTTACTAGCATTTGCCCCCTGTGATTTTTGATCCCATAGCCGAATGCTCCTACTCTCGATTCGCCATTCTCGCGTACTCCCACTTTGGCATTAATGTTTACCAAAACCTTCTACACTGTTGTTATGGGTGAAAACAACAGTGTAGAAGGTTTTGGTACGGGACATAGCTTTTGATAAGTCCTCTTACATGGCTTCGACGTCTTCGTCAGGATGTGAAGTCGTTGGGGCGTAAACCTGTATCACTTTTAGGGAGTATCTTTCGCTCACCTTTAATACGAGGTACGCTACCCTAGCCGACACAATGCCAACTTCTACAACGTTGTTTCTGAGCGACTTGTGTATTAGAAATCCGACGCCACTTTGGGATAGTTGATGTCCTTCTCGGAAGTAGAGCAAGTGACCAGCATCTAGTGCCATCATATCCTCGCCCTGTCTTCGAATTTCCGATAGACCCACTATGTGCCAGTTAATATGACTTAGCTCTACTTCCAGTTCGGCCAGGTGTTCGTTCAACCGCAGAGAGCGTCCGTTAAACGTAGCCAGGTAGAATCGCTTATGGTACCCTGCCTTAGCCCGGGGATTCTTAGCACCACCTGTCGCACCGTTACCATGACCGGTATCGAGGCCTGGAATAGTGCAACCACCGGGAACTGGGGGCCTTAAATCTGAGTTGGTTTCCATTGAGGCGAAATCTGCCTTAGTCACCACGCTTGGCAGGCGGTTTGGTGACCGCAGTTGCTTGAATCCTTCTCTGACGGCGCTGCTGCACGCAGTCAGGATTGATATTTATAGATTCCAGCAATATTATATGGTTATACCGCCATGATTCGGTCGCCAGAGCCATTAGCAGGATGTACTACATGCAGGTTGACGGCCTTAGATGTAAGCTGCCCCCCTTACACCCCAGTTGAGCCATGCTCAACGGCCAGAGCGATTCTTCGAGACAAGTGGGTCTCGGTATGAACCTTGACAATACGAAAATTATGTCCAATAGTAATGTGATCCCGAGAGCAGTGGTCGTGAATGGCGCTATGCCTGAAATTGTGCGGGAATACACCTACCTTGGCCAAACTATACAACTAGGCCGGCACAACTTTTAGAAAGAGGCCAACCGAAGAATACGCTTTGGCTGGGCGGCATTCGGGAAGCTACGACACGTTTTTGAGTCGTCAATACCGGAATGCCTCAAGTCCAAAGTGTTTAACCAGTGCGTCCTACCAGTAATGTCTTACGGAGCCGAAACGTGGACACTCACCGTGGGGCTGGTCACAAATTTAAGGTCGCTCAGCGGGCGATGGAACGCGCAATACTTGGAGTTTCTCTGGCAGACAAGATACGAAACGAAGTCATTAGCCAGAGAACTAAAGTTACCGACATTGCGCGCAGAATTAGCACGCTGAAGTGGAAGTGGGCTGGCCATGTCTCCAGACGTACTGATGGTCGCTGGAGCCAACACGTGTTAGAGTGGACACCACGGTTAGTAAAACGAACTGTGGGACGGCCTGCAGCACGATGGACTGACGACTTAAGAAAGGTGGCGGGCAGAGGATGGATGCGGGCTGCCCAGGACAGTTGGCGCACTTTGGGGGAGGCTTACGTTCAGCAGTGGACGGCAATAGGCTGATATTGTATTGTTGTTGGTTCCAGTAGTCACTCTTGATACCATACGTGAGTCTCCGTGGACTGAATTAGAGTGAATATTCTGTTATAAATTTTAATAGTTCGTATTAGTCGATTTTTTCACTGTGATTCTTTGCGACGTTATTAGATATGTTAAATACTAGTCTTGAATAAAAAAAAATTATAAGCAAATTGTTTTTGTTAAATAAATCTAATGTAATGAAGCACAGATTAACTTATTTACATGAAAAATATGCATTTTTAAAAATGTCACGTGTGATTTGCGGAAGAGGAGATTGGGTCGCATCAAAAGTTTTTACATGTCTCACAACATCTCACCAAGAGGAGAGGGGTGGGGGGGGGGGGGGTCAAAAATTGCCACAATTACCTCACGTAATTAATGGATGCCATGGATGCCCCTTTATCTACTTTCGTTCTAAAAGCAATCTCAAAGTTGAAAAAATACAACTTTTAAACAACAACTTAAACAACACAACACTCGATTAGCATTCAACCTCGAAGTTAAGGAACTAATCTACCAAATTATGAACAGTAAAGTTCCCGTTGAAGTGTACCTATACACGAATAATTACAAAAAACCAAATGTAGGTCTACCACTAGGCGGACCGACGTCATTGTAATAATCGCGGGATGCAAATTGCAAAGTAATTGCTTCTAGTAATTTCTTTCGGGATGCAAATTGCAAAGTAATTGCTACTAGCAATTTACTTCCTTGTGTGCAATAAAGTCAGGGCCGAATTTAAGGGAAGGCAACCCGGGGCAACGGCCCCGGGGCCTCCACAAACGAGGGTCCCCACAATAGAGACTTCAGAAAAAAAATTCATTTAAAAATTCAGACTAGTAAACAATAGTAAACAACTTTTCCTTTACCTACAGTACTTTGTACAAACATGATTAAATTACATATTAACAGAAATCAATATAAAATAATTTGAGGCGAAGGGGCCTCCACTCCTTGGTGCCCCGAGGCCTCCAGACCTCTAAATCTGGACCTGAATAAAGTATATTCTATTGTGTTCCATTCTATGGAACAACCCCTTATTCAACCGTGGACGTCATCTGGCTGATGATGATGATATGTATCTTTCTTTATAACATTATTAATTTTTAAGAGAGCTAAAAATATTTATAATTATTTTTTTGGTACATTATAACAGCTACATATTATGTAGCTGCAACGCATGAATATATGAATACAATATTTAGCTGAAATCCATGCACCAAAGCGGCATAAATACATATGTATCTGAAAACGAATGGATAATTCAATTAATGTTCGTCTTTGCACTATGGGACCTCGTACTCACCTATGTTTCCGTCAGCACGCGAGGGCGCCAGCGTGCTCAACACCGCTAGCGCCCACAACACCGGCCGCCAAGACAAGCGGCTCATTACATCTAAGCAAGGAGTACACAGATGTAAATGATTTCAAAAAGCAATGAAGAAAGAAAATATGCATATATAGAACAAGCTTCTAGTTGGTCTGCCGTCGGACCTAGTGGTAACGAATGGTATTCCGTATTTAATGGAACAATAATTGTAGAAGAGCTACACTTTGCCGCGTAGTAATTAGATGTGTCTATACAGCATCAACGTATATTATGACAAAAGTTGAGCATAAGGACATATAAGAGGTATATTTGTAAAAATCTAAAATAAATTTAATATCCTATTGTAGTTTGATAATATAGGGTTGGTTCACACACTCATTTGAAATTAAAAATATCATGAAATTTGGGCCAAATTCCATTACCAAGCTTTATATAGGATAAAGGTTACTTGCAGCATGCGCTTGCGACACTTTGGCTTGTTGGCCTCCTTTACTAGAATCAATCATCAAAATTCAAATCAAATAGATCATCAATTCTTTCTAGTAGTAATAATGACCAGCAAAGTCTTATCGTATAAACAAAAAAAGTTATCGATAATCGATTCTACTTACTAGATGTCAACGTAAAGCAAAGAACTAAGCTTTGCTTTATAATGTAACAACCTTTAAATTATAATATTAAAGCTTAAGCCATTATTGCCTCTAGATTCCAGGTCCGAGATTCAAGTTCCAGACTTGCTGCTTGTATCGAATCTCGATGTATGTATGTGTGTTATCTGTGTATATATTATTGCTGTGGAATGAAACTCATATTATAGCGTTAAGATATCAGTGCGTCTTCAGTTACATTTTATACTATCATAGATCGAGTCCACAATGTGACTACGAAAATAATAATGGATTAGACTCTTCTAAATATATGACAGCATTTGTAGAACATTATAGCTATCAGTATTGCGACAATGCTAAATTCGAAATTTGTAAAATAATCGTGACTGTGGATAAAGTGCACTCTTATGATAATAGAAGTGATAGTTATGATAAAAATTTCACATGATCCATAGTACATGGGGCTTTAGGATTTAACTTAACATACCAAAGCTTTTGTTTACCCTATTTATGCATATCTGATTAAAACCTAAATTAAACCGGCGTTAATATCAATAATATTATGAATTTATATTGTTTTTATTATTATTAATTAAACTATAGTTTAATTAAAATAAAAAACTTAGTTGACAACATTAAGATACGCTGATAAAAAGGCCAGTAAATATCCAATGGATGTTGCACGCTCAAATATTTAACATAGAAAAACTAAACGTTAATAATTAAAAACTTAAAGTGTTAATAATACGAATGCAACTAACTTTATTGCAATAGAATAACATACTTAATGTATTAATTTATCATTACCATACACCCGTAGCTTCATGTATCTTGCTACGATTTATAGATAGTTATATCAGCGCTTGTGACGTAGGCATCTGTGCCCTTTACATCCCACGCATTCCGTGTTCACAAAATGAAAATGAGTATATTTCATTAACTATTAATTTTATTCATTCAAAGGCATATAATTTCATTTTGCAGAATCACAATAATTAAAGATAGCAATTATAAGTATTTAAATAACACTTAATATAATGACTGCTTGTTGTGTGATGTAAATAGAACGGCGTTATAAAGAAAATGGAGTATCACAATCTGGAAGAAAGGACATAGAAGAGAATGTTTTGAACTGTATCCTATCGATGTGACACCGAGTTGACAAACAAACAATCTCATAACACCTCTGAGTGCCTGTAATGGCGTAACAGGTTTCACGGCGAAACAAAAAATGTTGAACGAGACCTATTTCGTGTGCCCACGCCTAAACAACGCATGTTGGTGGTGTTTAATGCAGTTCTAATTGTTGTACGCACCGTTTAGAGCCGCCAATCCGTCCGTAACATTTCCTCCGCCAGGTAGATACCTCAAGTCCCGCACAGATAGCCTCCGAGACGCGGGTCGGAACGCGTTGGTCGCGGAAGGATGGGACCCGCCAGCTGTATGCCGCCAAAGCGGACCTGCGCACTCCGCTCTATCGATCTTGCCCCGTCCATTCACATGCTGCCACTTCGCCGCCTACATAACGACACGTTCCGAGCCGATGTTATACTTCAATCATCATTAGATAACGCAATATTGGCCGAACTCCCAATGCTTTCAACAATTAAAGCACTCCGCCGAAACGTTTCGACTGCACTTTATCCGTGAAAGCAATCGGCCCAAATATTATATTCAACGTCTGAGCAACGTAGCTTCGAATATTTTGGTTAAGCGGAACAAATATGTATATAATTCAGTATCAGGCACGCTCGGGCAAAGTCTGGAACGTAGTGGCGCCCACACGCTAAATTATCGCCAGTACAACACCCTGCATGCTAATGACGTTAGTAGCGATAACGTGCCGGAGACTGGAGCCGATACTACCATTTTCTTGTAATTATTTCAAATAAAATTCAATGTCACCGCCATAATATTACTTTTGAAAAAAGGAATATTGTAATTCATCCAAAAATTAATTTAAATGTCCAACATTATTTTGATGGATTTAATTACGTTACCTATATACATTAAAATATTCTTGATTAAACAATACATAACAATTGAAACGATGAAAACCCTATTTTAACCACATTGTAACCACATTGATTCATGTCACACAAGTAGTTCAAATATGGAAAATGAAATTTAATTGCATTATACAAAAAGTACAGGTCATGCAAATAAAAGTATAAAAGTATGGTAAGTAAACCACAGCCGCTAAAACTTAAAGCAGATAGAAGTTTCAAGTAAACGGTGGTACAGATTGAACGAGATATCGACACTAAAGATCAATATTTGCACCTATATCCGTACTGATTGTTACATTTTTATTGAAGCTCAAACTGTATGCCATAACTTTGGCTCCGGCCAATCGTGATTGCTCCCTGTGTTGTATTGTTTCAATTTCTATGAGTTTTTCTTTGTGATCTATCGTTATTTGGACATATCTATTTTTAAAATTATAAATGATTATTATTGAAATAAAAAAGCAAATATATATGTAGAATAAGAAAAAATAGAAATAAATATAAGATAAGGTAATTAGATACCTAAACAATTAGGAAAATTGATTTCAATATCTGTGTGCATATAATTATGTGATTTACAACCCGAGTTAGCAGTAACATAATGACGTCGTACCTCAGCCCGAGATCATGAATGCTGGAAAGTATTCGAAATTTTTGTAATTTTACCTTATTTTCAGATAACAGGTATGCGGTTATATACATGAATATATTTCATTTTATGTAGGAAATAGGTAACAAACTGCATGATAAATGGAAACGTAATGATATTCCATGTTGACCGCAATATTGCTAATGGGACCAAGAAATTAACTTGGGCGACTGCTTTAAACATATTTATTTTCAGCCGTCTCAGGATTAAATATCTGAAATGAAGTGAGGTAAATTTCGTTACGTCTTATCTATCACGAACATCTTATTCACGACGTTTTCGTTGACTCAATATTCGTACATGGAACCAGCAGCGCTTAGATTTTATTGGTACCGGTGCCAGAATTTAAGTGAATGGGATTCTGGAATTTAAATTCTATTCTAAGCGCTTGACGCTACCGCGGTTTTAATTATTCGAATTATTAATGATTGTTTTGTCCATAGCTACTTTTCGTTCTTCCTTTTCTTTATAGATTGTCTGTACTTACATAGTTCAGTGAACAAATGAATATGTAGGAAGCTTATTTGTTTATCTTTACGTATACCCTAGGGATAAGTGAATAAAATTACACGGTATATAATCAGTCTAAGTTTAACGACTACTTGAGTTCTATGAATTTTATCTCACTTACTTTAATTTTTGACTATTGAGGTTCCGGGTGCTTCAAAGCAGGTCTCTTTAGCAAGTAGTAACAAGTCAACGTAGTCGTTTGTCGAAAAAAGTGATGAGGCAAAAAAAAAATCGGAATAAAAAAGGTATAAATTTCAGATTTTTTTACTTTTCTCTTAATCTATTAATCTTAATAATGAAGCAATATAAAATTTATTTATCCAACATAAAATCTATATAGATTACATATTATCTAAACCTAGCCTATTGAATCAAGAAATGTTGATTTTGGGAGGACGATTATATTGAGAGGACGATTTTAGGCTGACAACAAAATACGAAATTAGGTTAAGGGAGAGGACACCTTGTTGTGAACAGGTTTCTTAAATTAGTTGATTTGTACAAAAATTTATAACGTTAATGTTATAATATGAATGTTCATTCTGTTCTATAAGTATTAATGAAGATCATCAAGATTGCTAGCCGTGACATTTGATACGGAAGTGGTGGGCATTTCTTTATCGATTTTCAGCGTGCACACAATGTCGTATTTTATTTAATAGGTCAAAGGTTAATAGAGAATGGAGTGGGCGATAAAACCGGAATCCGCCTACAGAAGGGTTCGGATGAAACTGCTGTAAGAAAGAAATAAAACTTTTTCCATTATCGGATTGAAGAATTTATTTTTCATAAGTATAACACAGCTCTTGCTTACATTAAAAAAAATAGAGAACATATTCAAAGGTAAACATAGATAAACTTTAAAAATAGATAAACTTACGAGGTACGTAAGTTTGAAATAATCACCAGTATTTGGTAAATTGAGAAAGGTTACAATAACTAAATTATTCGAAACAAGTGAATTTAGAGGTTAAATGATGAGACCACAAAGATAATGATATAAAAATGTTTTGGCCATGTTTTTCGTAAAGCATAATTCTTCTACTCAATTACGAACCAGAGGTGGCTTAGAAAGTTCCTGCTTTTTAATTTTTATTACCTTGCTCAAATTACAAGTCTCTCATAATACATTGTAGAACGGAGAGATTGGGTCCACTTTCCCCGACAAATGACCTGTCATGCAATAATAAGTATATAAAGAATACATCACTTACTCCAAGTGATATAGTCATGTTATATGTACAAGTACTAAAACACCTGTATCCGCGTTCGATTCCCGTTCTTAATATGTAAAATAAATATAATAACTTATTATCGTACAAGACATTTCGGTATATTACAAACTTATCTACGGCCAGTATACCGGGCGATTTTTAAGACGAAGTACATACTTCGACATGTTAATTGAGAATTCCAAAATTCAAAAAAATATTAGTGCTTTATGTTGACAAGAAATAACTAGAAAAATATCAATTCAAACATTGCTTGTTTAGTGACTTGAGAGTGGTCACCCTATTGATAAGCGGTTTAATAATTATGCGTTCAGTGAATAGTTTTAGTGCCCGAGAACAGGTAAGGCAGGTGAACAGACGGTAAGTAGGAATTCGGATGTCCATAATATTTGAAAAAGTTAAAAGTAATCTTTAAAAAAAGTTAACAAATGAGGTCACAAGTACATACCAGATTGAGATTTAGAATCAAATTCTGCATACGCTCTGTTAATATGTCCGTCGTTTATAAAATCACGGGTGGTAGGGTGGAATATTTAAAATCACTCGTAAGTAATTAATCACATTCATTTGAACTTATCTCTAATTTAGGTATTTATGACTGACTACTGCATTGTTAACACGTTCTGTTTTTTAGGGAATGGAGTGGCATTTTTTTTTTGGAAAAAAACTTGTTTTTTATTTCAATAAACGATTATACTACCGAGTCTGAACCTACTGTGTAAATTTGGGCACTTCTCAAAAAATCTCCCTGTATATACAGCGTGTCGTTACCATCGCGACGTCTAACGCTACTTGTTAAAATCCATAATTAAAAAAAATATTTATCAAACAAACTAATTAAGTAAAAAAGAAACAAAATTTGTAACATCCTATACATACAACGCGCCACAGCGTCGTATTACAAGCCTCTCCTTCTAACAGTATGTTTTGTCTCTTTTAAATTCATTCAACCCATTCATATGCTTTGTGACCTTTACAAATGAACTTTACGTTACGCTTTTATAGGTAAGGGTGTTCTAAAATTTTTTGTTTTGGAAAATTTAATAACTCTGTAAATATTGATGTTTAAAGAATTTAAATGTTTAATACAACTTTAAAAAGTTATCCCCTATATGTGTGTTCATTTATTGTCGCGATGGTAACGACACGCTGTATACAGCGTGTCTTTACATTCGCGACAATAAATGAACACACATATCGAGGATAACTGAATGCATATGAATGAGTTGAATGAATTTAAAAGAGACAAAACATACTGTTAGAAGGAGAGGCTTGTAATGCGACGCTGTGGCAATGAATGAAAAAGACTGAACGTATGAAACAGTAATTTGTAGTTGTATAGGTGTTACAAATTTTGTGTCTTTTTTACTTACTTATTTTATTTGAAAAAAAAAATCAATTATGGTTTTTTTTAACGTTAATATTTTTTTATGATTATTGGCAAGTAGAGTTAGAGGTGTGTTCATTTATTGTCGCGGTGGTAACAACACGCTGTATATATTTACATATATATACTCAATATATATATGTAACTCTATGTCCACAATTATGATGAAATGGTTTCCAGTGCGTGTACCCCCTTCTTCAGATTGCCATCTCAAGTACTGCGCGTATGTTGCACGCGTACCGTATCCGCCACAAAATAAAGGTGTTTCCGTTTCGTAATTTATAAATGTTATTAACGATACGTTTTATATGTAGTACACTAGAGGACCCGACACACGTCTTGAATGCAAAAATTTTCAACTTTTTAAATCTTAACCATTATCGAATGCACAGTGTGTTAAACACTATAAATTTCATCAAAATCGGTACAGCTGTTTAAACACGCACAGAAGAATTATATGTGTAAAGATAATAGTTAAATTTTTCTATATATGTGACGGTAAAATGCTTGGTGATGTGCCTTATGTGCTTACCGTTGCCCGGTTTATCAACATGAGCGGGAGCGCCATTATCAAGGGTAGTAAGATAGTAAAGGAAATCATTCTAACTTGCCTTAAAAGAAATATTTGTAAAAGTTATTATTAGGCGTCTTTATGGCGCCTTAAAAACGGAACGTGAAATGAAATTAAGAAACAGGCTTTTGTTATTTATTAACAAATTATTGTTTTCATTTACAATTAGTTACAGGTTTCGTTACACGAAGATTGTACATTTTTACACGAACAGCAAATTACCATGTTCTGTTATAGTGCTCCCCAAACCATTTGAATATCAACTCAAATTACAAATGGAATTTTGCAAAATCACTAAACACACTAGCCTATAAATAAATGTTTCAGTTATTATGAAAAATTAACTAAGGTATAGTTAAAATAATCTCTTACTAGGCAAAAATATCAGTCCAATCTTTAATCTGCACCATGGCTTAAACATACCAATGCAAACATTATAGACTATTCGAGTTAATAATAACAGCACAAGTATTCTACAGGTCCAACATTTTGAAATTGCAAAGCTACCAAATAATATGCATAAATGTAAAATACACTGGCATTCATGTTACACTATGTGTAGACACGAAATTAAATAAGCAATAATATAATCTTTACTTTCTCTACAAGACATTTATTTACTTATTTCTTTATTCCCATAAAAGATAATGATCTTTTCCCAGATTTTGAAAGTGTAAGAAGACTTACAGAAATACAAAAAGATAGAAATTAAATGTATTTAATATAATTATTTCAACTTTATCCATATGAAAGTTGAACGAAGTAATAAAAACGACATCAGGCAGCAGTCGTGGAGGTCTTCGTAAGGAAGTTTTTTTATGTATACTGTTAAGAAAGTGATGCACATATTCCTCAAGTACTTGACGTCTAATGTAAGCCCACTCACTCTAAGAATCTCACGGTATTTAAAAAGGAAGAATGGTGTGAACTACATCAGTGCAACTTAACTACCAGGTAGTTAGTGAGGCACCATATGATAATTAAGGTATTTACGTGCAATATCGAAAAGGTTAAAGAGGGACCGTCATGGATTTTCTGTTTTAAGTATGCCCATTAAACTCTTAGTAGGAAATTCAAAATTTACCTACAAGTACAATAAAAGAAAAGTAAATGACAAAAGTAGCCAGAATTCCTTAAAATTAGTAGCAACATGAAATTGTTAATAGCCAATTTTGATCTGTGTTTTGCAAATTTGAAATTTTATAACAATGTAGAAAACTTCTGATAATGAATACAAGCGACAATGTAATATCGTGTCTGGCGGTAACGACAATAAAAGAAATCGTATAAAACTTTTAGTGATTAGAAATAAAATAAAATAATTAATAGATAGAATATATGTGTAATTTAGGCATTTTGATTCTATTTTTTGTATAAAATATTTAAAAAAAATCAGCTTGAATCGCACATGTAACAGAAAGAAGTGTAGTTTTCATGTATGCATGTAGTAAATTATTAAAACACAAACAAACTACTTTTTAAATTTGAATGTCGAAACATGAGCTCAAAAGCTAGCCGCATGTTATATAATTGGCAAGAAGCGGTGAATAAAGGGATTTCATAAACAATATTAGATATCGCCTCGAAGACTTCCCAACGATTCCGAAGTGAAATTAAGCGTGTTAGTAAAAATTAGCGTGTTAGTAAAGTAAATAAGCAATAAGTTACACAGTAAAAATAAGAGAAATCAAGAGTTTTGATACATAATATCAAATATTCCAAGATCTTATTGAACTAATTAAATTGGTACATCCGACGACGAATAGTATTAACCTTAAATTGACTAGGCTTACTAATTTCGTTTTTAATTTTCTTCAAGAATACTAACATAATTTCCGTATACTCACTTTCATTCTTCACTTTTCGCTTGGACATTTATTGATATGTAAAAAAATAAGGAGCCTACAAAAAGTTTAATCTCGCAAAAAATTCAAAAACTTCTGTGAAACAATCTAAGTCAAACACAGGTTCCATCCAAAGTAAACTAAAGCTGTCTTTATCTTCTTTCAAGCGATAATATATGCAAAATTAATCCAACAAAAATATTATCAAACCCAAACACTGTTTATAAAACTTAAATGATAAAATCCTACATTACACTCTAAAATATACATTTTAAAATCAACTTACACAATTTGAGTACATACTGTTGCATCAAAGTTTTTGGGTTAATTGAATAATTTTAACAAAAAATAACACATTGGAGCATAAATCTGCTCTTTGTTCTGTTCACATTGTGAATTTACTCAACACTTTTTATCACCAAAATGAAACATACTAAGATAATATTTTTATGTAATCAGTAAAAGAATATTTTAGTAATCATATGGTTTTCAGTAAATAAGGATCATTTACGGAGTTTATTTCGCCTGTTTCTTTTCCGTTAGAGGAACCTCATTACGAAATGGTGGTAGATTAAAAAAAATACTATCGATAATTTTAATGTATGTTTCTTATGTTGATGAATAAATTATATAAAGATTTTGACTTTGATCACATCTACCTACAGCGTGTAGCTAGACACCAGGAGGGGATTTTTTGGCATTTAAAAATGTTGCCAACAGTTAATATATTCAGTGGACAACTCCAAGTTATAATGTACTACAACTTCACGTCGATCTCCGGTGAGCCTTGTTATTTTATCAGGTCAAACCTAATTTTCAATGATGTAATGCCACTCATAATTGTTTTAATGTGCTATTTTGTTCCCTTTAATTATAAAAAATTTAATGAAAGCGAACATTTAATCTCCCATGTTACATAGTAATATTGTGCCTTCAAACTTAAAATAAGTTTGAAACTGTTTATGTGCAACCAACTGGTCTGACAAAGTACGTACGCGATATCGAAACCCCAAAACTAAATTCCGCTTGTAACAATGGTACGCTTGCCGACAAAGACCAGCAGCGCGACATTATTGCAATTCCATGCATGTGTTGTTCCCAGGCCAAATAGTGGAACTATTCTTCCTTAGACTTTCTTCCATGCACGTGTCTGTCAAATCCCGGAAAGCACCAGTCTTTTGGCTTGAAATTGGACATTCGTGCGTTTCGAGTCCAATCAGCTGCACTGCTGCTATTTGGGCCTAGAGGGGCAGGGCGGCGCGGGTCTGTGCGGCCTTGGGACCTCTTCGTACACTTCGTCGTAGAGACACGCATTCGCATACGTAGCGTACGCGTCGCGTCCTACCCCAATCTCGCTGTACACGTTGTCCGAATCCGCTACTACGTCGTAGGCGCCGCGCTCCGCTACGGATCCGTAGCCGTAGCCGTCCGCGTACGCACCGTAGTCAACGTTCTGATACTTGAGCGCGGCGTAGTTCTTCGAGTTGGCCACGGCGTCGCTGAATTCACGTAGCTTCCCCTCCTCCTCGCGCTTCGGCACGTAGATGTTCTTCTCGTAGCGGCTCTCGTTCGTGGCTTCGGCGGTGGAGAGTTTCGTGTAGTAGTCTGTCGTCTCGAGCAGATACTGATGTTGAGCGGCGCCCGCCTCGTAGTTATCGTAGAGGGGCTCCCCGTAGCTCGGTTCGGTGGGCAACTCGTTCCGTTGCTTGGACGTAGACGGTGTCCCGTTGTAGAAGTTACTGTTGGCGTAGACGCCCTCGCTGTTCGTGTTCTTCGATCTGAGATTCAGCGATTCAGATATCCGGTCGTCGAGCGACATTTGCGTCAGTCGCGCACTAATCGTTTCATTAGTCGAATAGGTAATATCGCTGCAGTGAGGTTGAGTGTTGGTGTTAGTGTTGTTCAAAAGTGTCCCGTATGGCATGTTATTCGAGTAGCTGCTTCTGCTAACCGTCGATAGGTTGTTCGACGGTTGTGAGGTGTCAGTAGTGCCGGTTTGAAGGAACTCGTTATTCGAGTATATTTGAGATTCATTGTTGATTCGGTTAGAGGAGTGGCTGTAGATGGTCCGTTGTCCCTCTTGACTCGGTCTGCTGGGGATGTCCTGATATGATGCCCAGGCCTGCCCCGATTCAAACGGATCTGAATGGCCGGGGAGCCTCTGGCTGTTGTGACTTGAAGAAGGACCATTGAGATTGTCTAATGACTTGGTACCATATAGGTTGGGATAGTTCTGAGAGTTTGAACTATAGGTCGGCAGGCTTTCTATACTAGGCTGACCCCAATCTGGCTCCGCACCTGGAAAGTACATTATCTTCCTTCATAAATCGCCTTTTAAAAATAAACTATTCCTATTCTTTCTTTCAAATTACACAACGTAGCTTAGGTGGTAAAACTTAAATTAAGAATCAACATGGACCCTGTTAGAGCAAAGCTTTAGTAAATATTGAACAAAACTTCAGAATAATCAATAATCAAGACAAAAGAAATTCAATGGGTCTATGATTCAATTTACCGACTCTGCGCAGCCATCATTATTAGAAAAAAAGACTAATTATGTCAAAAATTATGTTAAGTTATGAAAAAATTGTTAAAATTACAATGCTAATTGGTTCCTACAGTCATTTCGTCTATTTTAAAATGTACAGAATACATAGCTTTTTGTAGGTAGAAATTGATGTACTTGTTATAATATACAGTAAAAGAAGTGTTGGTGTACGTACATGTTAATTAAATAATATAATATAAAATTTACAACGTCAAATTTTATGTCCATTTTTATACAAAATTTAATGTTTCATTTGCAAGAGCAGAGACTAGCACTATAAAAATTTAAATTTCAAAGCACAATGGCGACATCCCTCGTTCGATTTATCGTTGTAAAACGATATTTGATATTGTTTGTATTCTGAAAGAACATAAAAATGGACGCGCCAAACACTGCTTAAGAAGCGAAAAAACAATCTAGATAAAAATACGTTTACATTTTCGTCAGTGTGGCAATCAGCCGTCTAGCGTGGGGGTTAAGCGGCTGGGCCAGAGGTCGTGGGTTCGATTCCCGTAGCGGCGAAAAACTTTTGCGTCTATATTTTTTACAAATTTTAATATAATATAAATGAAAACAGTAATAAACTAGCACTGTAATAAATACTAACAAAGCAATGAGTGAACCTTAACACAAGCGTATATTATATATGTTCAAACAATAACATAATGATTTGTTGTGTAATAATATAATGACTGTGTACTTACAAATTTCAGGAACGTCAATTGGTTCATCTAGTATGGACACGGCGCTGTCGTTTGTTGGTTTCTTGTTTGGAGAATTTAGTTTTGTGCACGGTGGCAAGTCCAAGTCTATCAACAAATCCTCTCTCACTGAAAGTAAAAAAATAACTTTTTTAAAAAATACGCATCAATCCCTGTAATGATTGAGCAAAGATCTGCGTCAAATGAAAAGCTCAATACTATATTTATTAGACGAACATTATCAAAGTTATCACAAAATTTCTTTCTCTCAAGTTTTAAACTTCTGTGTTTCGTCTGGTGAGTGAGATAGCCGGGGCCCGCTTTATCATAAGGTGGCAACGCATCTGCAATTCCAAGGGTGTTGCAAATGTCAATGGGCGGCGGTTATCGCTTAACACCAGGCGAACCGCCAGCCCGTTTGCCACCTATTGATATAAAAAAAAACGCGTCACACCCCCTTACCCTGGTTCAGGCTCTTCGAGTGGGCGTCGCGCGCCTCCCTTGAGTGGCGCTGCGGCCCCAAGGTGGCGGCGCGGTCGTTCACCAGCTTGTTGTAGTTGAAGTGTTTGCTGCCGCTGTTGCCGGTGCGCGTGGTCGGTGGCTGGGTCGACTCTATTGTGCGACGCTTGCGGAGCGCCACGGAGCCGTCGTCCGACGCGATGTCGGTCGGGGAAGCAGACGTCGACGGTGGAACTGCGGCTAATTGCGACACCGGTTGAGACGTGTGTTTTGATTTGGATGGGAGGCACACTCGCGCTGACTAGAATTAAAGTTAGCTTGTCGTGGCGGAGGTGCTTAGCAGCCGTGGTAATCCCCACGGCGAATCCGAGAGGAAGCACCCACACTGGGCCGGTCTGTGTTTAAGACAGGAACGAGGGGGTCGCTTTCAGTGAGTTCGTTGAGCCCACTTTGGATGCTGGCAAGGGTGCGGAACAGGTTGAGGGCGGTAGCGGCGGAGTCACTCTCCTTTACTGTGTAACAGAGGCGGTGTCGCGGGAAGAGGAGTACTGGTATGAAGTTCAGCTAGCCCCCATAAGTCTAAACTCTGAAGGGATTGACTTGTTTGGCTGAAGCGCTGATGCATCAGTGGTGCAGGCGCGGGGTTAGGAGAACGATTATCATCGGTACTGCCATGTGCCGAGCTTCCTAACATCCACGGCCGAGATGTGGTGAGCGGCGGAACCACAGGGGAGGATGGGAGGCTTTTTAACAGTGACTATCTTGGCTCCTATGGACTCTGGGCAGCAGACTCGCGGGTGTCGGTTACCCATACCAAAAATGGTGCGCTTAATCTGGAGGAGAGGGTGTTTGCTCTCCAGGGAGGGGCTGCTGAGGCGGCCATTACTGGCATTATTTGAGTCGCAGTATGCGAGAGGTATCCCGTGATCCTGCCACTATGCGTCCCTAGGCGGAACATTGTCGGTGATTGTTGAATCAACACAACAAAAAGGTTAAAAGTTTTGAGGAGACGTACAAGGGGCGCTTAAAATGTTCGCGAAACGACAGAGTTAGAAAGATACTGGAACTGTTCCGTATACCTACGACTACTTGATAACTCAATTTCACTATGAAATACAAAGTTTTGGCTAAATCTAGTTCATTCACTATTGTTCGAGTTATCGCCAAATCAACAAGTCAATCCAGAGACCAGCTTTTACAGAGGACAATCGGATGGAGGAAATCTGCCTCCTCCGTTTGTTATAAAAAGTTAAGATCTTTTTAAACTATAGCCTTTGCGAAATATAATGTTGATCACTACAGAAGATGATTTTGATCACATGTTGAACGAACCCTACAATGTGAAATAGTATCTCGGCCACACGAAATTAATTTGTATTGTAACCTGTGTACGTTGTAAGCAATTAGTTCTCTGAACTCTTCAAAACCCGACGTGCACGTACGTAATTGTTTTTTTTTTACTCGGAAATTTTAAATGAAAGTAATTCTACTGTAATTTTCTTATCTACGTTTGCATTTCGTCTAGTTTTGCGCTAATACGTCAATGATTTTTTTTAAAGTGAACCTAACGTACCTGCTTAAGTCATTTTTATGCCATCGATAATCGATCCTATAACTCAGTGTTATCTAGAGACATATTTCTTGTTTAGGCATTCTTTTCATCCAATAAAACACATTTAAAATTAACAGGTTCAGACTATCTTTCCATTAACTTTGCGATTTTTAAACGACGTCAGGCGAAGGTCGAACAAATGTATCTATCAATTACTGTACACATCCGGTGCTCAAGCAAACAGGAACGGATACACCTTTATGTGTCGATGAAACACCTTTATCATATCGAAATATTTTCAAGAAAGTTTTAAAAGCCAACGCATTTTAAATGATTGCAACACGTATATCCCACCTGTATATTGTATCGTGTACTGTCAGTTAACAGAATTATTAATTGACTTTAATAAATTTGGACGTGCTATGAGCGATTTCTTAGTGTAATATTCTGAAATTTTTAGTGTTACTCCTTTTCACTAAACGATTCACATCGGTTGCCATATTTTTTTTCTCCGAAAATTTTCAAATGGAGAAAGAGCGTATTAACACAACTGCTGCCAGAAATGCAACTCAATTAGTGGCATTTGTAGAATTAACAATAAACCAATAAGTAACCTTCGTTTTAGCAACCTTAGACACGTGACGTTTTCACACACACGTATCGCACAGTTGAATAAGACATGGCGGTGATATAATGTCCTCCTAGTCATAGATTAGCGAAAGCCAAGGCCGCGTATGTTTACTAAGCGCTGCCGCAAAAAGTAGCCAAGTTATCAAGTTGCGGCGTCGACTAACGTAATGTGATTATAGACCTACGACGACCATTCAAACGACTAAAAATTAGGATACGAACAGTAATTTTTTTTTGTTCAAATATAAAAAACATGTTCCAAAAAGCTGAGCAAACAGCCCAGCAGCTTCATATATATTATTATATATTCTGAAAAAACGCCCTTAAATACTTTGTTTGAAGATGGGAACAAGTAGAAGAGTCACTCGATATTAAGCGGTTATCTTCGCCCATGGTACACCATCAGTGTACATCTATCCCCATAGATGCAACACTTAATGCAACCCCTTGCATGGCAAACTTTTAAGTGGTAGGCCCGGTTGCCTCACTCACCGGCCGAAAACCAAAAGTTAGATACTTCTACTACACGTCGATATCCGGTCAGGCCGTATCTTGCCGTGGCCTTGCCGTATTAAATGCTGATAATCAATTTTCAAAAGATTCGTACGTGCAAACAAAATCAGATCAGATGGCAATCGACTCGACATCTCGCGTGTTCGTAGCGAAACTAAAAAGAAAATAGTGCAGGCCTTATTTCACTAACGTATCTCCACTCCTATTTCATCTACATAACCACATAATGCGGATAAATAGATTCGAACAATTTTATAACTTCACTACATGATAGTATAAAATCAAGTCGTCCCGCTGTCTGTCTGTCCCTATGTATGCTTAGATGTTTAAAACTACGCAACGGATATTGATGCAGTTTGTTTTATTAGATAGAGTGATTCAAGAGGAAGGTGTAATACATTGCACCCGCGCGAAACAGGGGCGAGTCACTGGTAATGTATAAAATACATACGTCTATTCCATTAACAAGCGTTTAGTTACCCGTAATTCGATACGAGACACGACAAATTATCGATGAATATAGTCTTTCACAGGACGTTAAAATTAATACGCTAACTGATGTTGGTATTATCGTAATGTCGGGACTATGATAACATGATACTTAACACGTTCCGCCAAGAACGGCAATATTGTGACGTAATTTAATACGAGATGTATGAATGTATGTAACGTTATAAAAATGTTACGTAATATTGAGATTGAGAGATTGTAGACTAGTCAATAGTTTTATTAGTTGTTAATAAAACAAGCCTTTCTACTTGATACTCATATCATAGGGGTTAAAGTGGCAATTTTGCGGCGACCGCCATAATGAATTAAAAATGGCGGCATTTGGATAATCGAATATTGTCACGCGAACAAAGAGAGTGTGCCTAATTTCAGTTCAATCAGACTACGGAAAGTGGGTCAAATTTGACTTGCAAGATACATTGCAGGCATAACAGCTGGACAAGTGATAATAAAAAAGCTTGTATAATAATAATTATAGAGATACGGCTTCTTTAAGGCTCTTTTTGAACTTACGGGCCACTAAAGAAGCCACTGAGAAACGATCTGATGGGTTTCATTGCGCTTGCGCTAACGAGAATTAACTTATCCATTTACCCCTACTTAGAAATAAAATTGCCGCGGGAAAGAATACATGCATGTTACTTTCGAGAGTGATATAATGATTACATATACATTTTTCACACAACGTTCTCTAGTTCCAAACTAAGCACAACGCTTGTACTATGGTTACTAGATAACTGATAACCATACTTAAACATACTTTTATTTTGTATATAGAAACATATTATACATCCCATCGAAACCACACCCTCTGGCACAGGATTCGGGTCGTCAGATAAATGATGAAAGTGGAAGAGAAGACCTGAATGAATCGCATTAGGACTTGTTTGTTGACTTGGCTTTGTTCTAGATTACCGTTTTATATATATATATCACAAGCGAGCAAGTGATAATCACCGCACACAGACATCTACAGCACCTGAGTAGGGCTCGGTCATCGGGCTAACCGTACTGCTGTTGATTATGTAAATATCCCAAAAACATTTTTACGCAAGTGCATTAACCGTATGGCGCTTATGGTCGAAGCTCGAAAGTAAAATGTAACGCAACAGTTATCGATAAACAACAATACGTAACGACGCGGCCATTTAAGTTAACGGCGGCCGCGATCCTTGCATAACAATGAGCGATTTACGCTTAACGATATTACATTGATTGTTACGACCGAGTAAAGATACATTACGGTTGTGCGTGACGAGATCAGAACATCTTGCCGTGAAAATAATGCTGCTGATAATATCGGAAGAGAAGTGGACATCATGTAAAGTAACAGCCTATAAATGTCCCACGGCTGGGCAAAGGCGTCCTGAGTAAAGAGGGTATCAGGGCATAGTCCACCACACCGACCCCACTGCGGATTGGCGGTCTAAAAATATTTCGAAAATATGCAAGTTTCCTCACGATGTTTTCCTACGCCGCTGAGCACGTGATAAGACAGCACTTAAAATCAACAACATTGGTGCCGGTACCGGGGATCGAACTCAGGTTGCTCGAGTAAATTGAATTAAAGGCGTGCGACCGGACACTGCGCTATCGCAGCTTCAAGATCGAAAACATTTTTACACTTCAATTTTCAGGGCAGCAAAAATATTTTTACTTGAATACTGACTTACGGTGCTCGGTATTAAGTAGATAAAATTAGTTAACAACTACTCTTCGCCGAGTTCTGGCAAGCGCATGGGTTCTGCATTCGATTAGCTTTATTAGCCTACGGACTGAAAGAAAAAAAAAATCAGTCAAAGTACTACTTATCGCATTTGTCACTTCGAAGGGTTAGCAGAAATCGCGGATTTTCACTTTCCTTGATCAACACACAGTTATTCAGTCTTTTCACAATCCAAAATTATCCGAAAATATATTGTTATTCAAATTATATATACATAGTATAAGTATAGGTAGTGGATACAATTTATTGTGATGTTATTGACCGTTTAAATAAAGCAAAAGAAATATATATAAACGTAATCAGGGCATATTTTTACACCACATTATCTAGTTCCATACTAAGCAAAGCTTCTAATATGGGCACAAGGTAAGTAATAAAATACTTTTCTCTTGCAAACAAATTCACAATATGGATATATAAACACCCAGAAACTAGAAAAACACTGGTTTACCACACAATGTTTCCAGAGCGCAAAAAACGGGTATCAATTGTACAAATCATAATGAATGCAGTTTATTGCCATCCATCTTTATGTTTTATGGTACTTCCTTGTATGAAAATCTTAGAACAGTCAAGAATTAACTGATCTGTAAAATACAATCTTGATGGTCTATTCACTTCTGATAGATTAATACATAATATAAAGGAAGTGATTGAAAAACTCTATAAAATTAGACACTTATATTTTTCATTTAAAGCAGAGCAATGAAAAATATCCTTACCTTTTTTCAATGGTGAACTAGATTGTGTTTTTTTCGCTGACTGCACGATTTTGCTTTTTGCAGTGCTCACAAGTGTACTGAAATGAGCATTTCATTAATGCAATATAAAAAAGAATAATATGCCGGCATATTGAAACCGGCAAAAGGAAATAGATGGATTAATTAACATTTTACTTTATATGCTATAGACAAAAATATAAATGTTAAACAAATATTTAGCATAATTAATAGTTTTAAAAAATGACTTCATTCATTCATTAAAATGCTGAATTTAAACTCTTAACCGTTAACATTTTTAATATTAAGAATTTCTTGTAATGCAACCATTTTAAGATGGTAATTTAGCTAATAATTCATGTGATATTCCATATATTTACATAGAAAGATTGCAACAAAATTGTTTTGTTTTAACCAGCCTTTGGTCAAATTCCTATACAATTTTATAAAACATCAAATTTACATTATCACATCTAATTGGCAAAAATATAATAAATAAATACTGCAAATTTCAATGTTCAAAATTAACAAACAATCGGTTTATATTAGCATACCTACATAAGATATGTGTATTACTAATTATAATAAATATTACGAAAAATGCTATTTAAGAAAAATTGTACCTTGGCAGGAGTCCCACTTCTAGCGTCCGTTGGTTCTGTCCTTTCCACCAATGCAACTCTGGTCGTTTGTCAATTAAAATAATTGCATCACCAGCCTCTATAGTCATTTGGCCCTGTTTACGGTAACTACAATAAAGAAATATACATAAATGGTCCGTAAATGTTAAATCTAATACAGTTCAAGTCCACCAAAACATGTTCCACAAAAATAGATTAATTACTTATAAAATCAAAAGCATTAAATATATTGTATACAGAAGACCATGACATAAGAGTACTAACCAAAACTCCCCTGACCTTCAGTACTATAATGTTATTAGCAGAAGGTTGTGGTTTGAGATGTTAGTTCTACAATGAGTGGTACAGTTAATTTAATAAGAAAATGTCACCAATAACAGACATTGACAGTATTTCAATGGTTATACATAATTATGGTTCATTTTTTAAAATTTCAGTTAAATAATCTATCTATTTATCTATAATTTAATTTTATCTATCAGCATATTACATCCAATCAATTTAAATGTATTCTTTATTAAAATTCAATGAGTTACCTTAAAGCGGAGATTGCAGTTTCAAATTTATTTGTGTCTATATAGCGTTGAATGCCAGCAAATGTGGGCCTTTCTTTGGGATTGAGGTCCCAGCACTGCATCATCAGCATGTACACGTCAGGCGGACAAGCAGCGGGCGCTGATAAACGCTGACCCTCACGCATTATAAGCCTGAGTATCTCAGAACCGTTTAAGCCTAACAAAATTGATGTTCATGCAGTTTATTATATTATTTATATACCGTGCATTGTACACTGTATATGACTATAAGAGTATAAAAACAAATACAAAAATATTTCTTGCTTGATTGACAAACTTAACTTTAATGATCATTTGTGTTAATTCTTTTCAACATATTTTACAATGATGACACACATGACATATAGATTGTGATTTTAAATAGTACAGTAGCTCAGTTTCAAACTTCACTAATATTCCACATTTAAATTCAGGTGTAGGATATAGTTCCAGTAAGGGTAATTTTTTTAATTGTAATTAAGCTCCGGATTTATAATTTACTCAATAGTTATTCAGAAAGGAATGCTTGTATGAGTATCTAAAATATATTCTAGTATATGTGAAGTCCACCAGCATCATTTTATATTGTTCAGCAGATGAATATATATGTAGGGTTAATACTTTAGTTTAAAACTACTCACCCATCCAAGGTTCTTCACCAAATGAATACATCTCCCAAAGAGCAACAGCAAACATCCATACATCAGATGCATGAGAAAACTGGCGAGAGCGTAACGATTCTGGGGCACACCAAGGAAAGGGAACCCTTCTCCTTTCACTCATTACATAACAATCATCAGCATCGGGTAATGCTCTCATTAACCCAAAATCACCGATTTTTACCTGTATAAATTTTAAATAAATTTCTTACAGTCTTGTCGTATAATCAATCAGCCTTCAATACTTTGTACTAAAAATATTATAATAAACCTGGTAACAACTACTTTACAAAGGCTGCTGCAATAATAAAAATAAATAGAACAAATGAATTGATTTATATGCTAAAACATTGATAAGACCCACAGATAATAGTTCCGGATCTGGTTGTTTATTTTCAAGAAGGGTTGATGGCAGGTAGTCTCATAAAAAACATAGCCAATACAATGAACCATGTTGCCAATGAACAAAATAGTTCACATGTTGTGCCAACCCCACTAAAGTTGAATTAAGATAGGAGAAAAAAAGAAGATATGCCAAGATATGCCTCAACACTTTGGACTACCGTCAATTATTTATAGGCTAATGTAAATTTTAAATAATCAACATATTTCAATACTTTTCAGAAGTATACCTATTTTTAACAGGTTTACAATTTTTTCTGAATAAGAATCAAAAAAGTCTTTACCATTAAAAATATACATCCTTACCAAATCTAAGCTGGACAAAAGTATATTTCTGCAAGCTAGGTCCCTGTGTAAAAATCTTGACTTTTCCAGATAAGCCATTCCAGCTGCCACTTGACTAGACCACTTTGCTATGTAATTTAAAGACACTTTACCATTTTGGGCTCTGATGTAATCTAATAATGCTCCCATATTTGCCAACTCGCACACCATCATAAGAGGGTGGAATACAACTCCATGTAATTTTATTAAGTTAGTATGTTTCAAGCTATGCATCGCTTCTACTTCTCTCCTGAAATCATCGTAGATTCCTGGTTGGGAGAAGGCATCAGCCTTAAGAACTTTTACTGCCACAGGCACCATTTGATTTGGTTGGTCTGACACTCTCCATTCCCCTCTTTTTACCACACCAAAGGATCCATTGCCCAACTCATTTAGCAATCTGCAAAAACAGGTCAGTTTTAATGCACAATGTACAAAATATTTCAACAAGAAAACATTGATACCTGATTTCAGATTCACTCTTTTTTTTTTATATTTAAACATTAAAAGTACTTTATCACTAAGCTTTTTACACAAAAATATTAAAACATTGAATCTTGAAAACATAATTTATAGAAATTACAGTACTAACAATAAGTAGTTAATTACTTACACAATATCTTTTTCTAAAATAATACAAGTTGTAGTTCTGGTTTCTGTCTGAGGTGGTTGCCTAATGGACAAGTCTGTTTTTTCCCGAGTTACTGAATTTGACGATCCAAAAAGCTTATTCCAAAACTTTCTATTCCAAAGCTGAAGTTTCTTTTTTCTTACAGCATCAAATAACCTGCGGACTCCAGGCTTACTGATACCAATTTTTTCAAGATCATCTGCATGCACATAGTCGAAATGTGCAAGTCTTGTAATCTGTAACAACACAAGGCAGTAAAATTCTGCAAAAAATATTTATACTTAAATATACGATTGTTGTTATTGTTTACCTGCAACTGATCTCTAATTGGCAAATAGAACTGCTCAAGTTGCACGTTTTGTAAAATTTCACATAGCCATTCAGTTCCTGAATCCATGTTTGTAGTATATGCTATGTTGCCTTTAGATTATTAAAATTAGAAATCCATTGGAAGGAATCATCTCAAGCAGGAAGCACAAATTACTTCTCTTGGTCAAAGTATTTAATGATGCTTGGAAGATAAAAAAAATATATAAACACTAGCTTTTAACATTTAATATATACACGTCCACTTTTTAAATAAAATCTGAGAACAGATATTTACAGTCATACATTTAAATTAACAACACAACCACAACACGAATAAAATTTCACTACATTTTAATTCTGTCTGTCGTTCACAGAACAGAAACAAAAATAGGAATGGGCTAAAAATATCGATATATAAAAATATCGATATTTTTTTCACACAATTATCAATACAATTTTTTCATACAATTATCGCGGTTTAGGTGTATTTGATAATATTTAATTTAAGATGATCTAATATTTACAAGATTAAATCTATCTAAAATTACATATTATCTAAAAAATGGACCCCACGCAAAATAAAATTGTTGCTAGGTTACCGAGTCGATATCGAGAAAAACATCGATATATCGATATGTTTCTTATTTCAGTTACGATAAACTTATGGTTTCAATGATAAAAATTCCTGAATAACCTACCTATATGTACCTAAGATAATAAAAATATTTTAAAAAAAATTGTTTTCTTATCGGTCACCACAGCCAAAAAGTGTAACTTGCATTAATATCAAAGAAAAAACTTGAATTAATATCAAAGAAAAAAAAAATACTGCATAAATAAAAAATAAATAAATAATTACAATTGCATAAGTTGATAAAAAATGCTATGCAATAGCTTTACCACGGCAGTCCCCTAGTGCCACAGTTAGTTTTTTAAACAAAAATGTACGTAACACAATGTGGTATACTTTATGTCAATGTCCCGCATATCGTCATATATTTAGCAAACTGTAATAACGGGTCAAAAAGGAACCCACAAAGATTTGTCATAAAAGACAGGCCTAGATCAGCAGAATTTATTAATAGTTGAATATTGACATGAAAATTTTGAACGACAGTTTAAAAAGTTACATAGGTGATTAAATGATAATAATTTTTATGACGTCAATCGCTAATTGTTGCTAAATAAATAAAAATAGTGCACCTTAGATAAAGAATTATAATTTTATCTACCAGTATTTTACAGATGCAAAATTATTTTAAAAAATATTGTTAAAAATTCGTTTATTTCATGTCAATCAGATTTGATGGATCGGTTTTAATGGTATTTAATTTAATAGTGTCTAAAACTATTAATGTACTATCATTTTAAAATGCAGAACCCGTCCGATGAAAGCATTTCTGCAATTAAATTTGTTGATTTCGGGTCAATTCCAGTTGATACTGTCTGTGAAAAATGTATTTTAGTACAAAATACATCGGATGTAAGTGTCAATATTTATAATATTATGACAGACATTAATTAAAAATATATAAAAATACTCCTGTACAAAGAGCTATGAACAATATCAAGTTAATCCATTTAATTTAAAGAGGCTATTTTTTTTTTAAGTAAAGAAGATATTTTGTTAGGAAGGGAATAAAACTTGGCGATTTCTTTTTCAGTTTATCATAATAATGTACTCATAGATATATTCAATTGTTTGTTAAATGGGAACTTCACAATTTTAGGATTTCTACACAAAATAGTATAAATATATAGTCTTGAACTTGGAGACTTATATTTACGCCATTTACTTAATTCAGCCTCCGCTGATGCCACCATGAACCTCATCAAAGTAACCCTGTTATGAAAAGTTCCCAAACTAGGGCTTTGGCTCTTCTTCCAATGAATCAAAGATAAGCCGTAAGGTCCCTTGACATCGTGATGTAAACTTCCACAGGGCTCTAAAATTTAATAAACTTTTATGCAAACAACAGCCCTTTGAATAACCACGTTCAGGGAACCGAGAGGGGAAACATTTTTCGACTTGAAAGTCAGTAATAAAACTTATTATAATAAACCTTATTTTCTTATTATTATTTTTATAATAACACAGAATCGACTCACAATTTAATTAGAGCAGCGATCAAGAGAGACTAAAGATGCCGTTTTACAATCAAAGAAGAAAGTGATTGTAACTATAGATGTCCTGAACCATGTACCCCTTTTTTTTAAACGTTGGGAAATTCGTTACGTATATGTCTCTCCGACTAAAAACCGACTGTGGGAACCATCTGCTCCGATGAGAAGTCGCGGGATCTGTGTTCGTAACACTACCTCCTTAGCATGTCAATGAACGCGCCTACGGGGAGCAGCTAGCACTCTCGTGGTGCCATAGCGGTGAAATGGGTCTACCTCGAACCACCGACCTCCCCTAGATTGTTTTACTGGGCAATATGATCTGCATCCTAATCTTTCGCCATCGCTGAGGCCCCGTTTCTGGTAGAGGAACACCCATTTCCGTTTGTGAACTGTCTTCTATCGATCTCTGTCAGCCTCCTTAAGATCATCACGGTCTCACAGGAGGAGGCTAAAGCCTTCCGCACCAGCGCTTTCTCCGACACGTCTACTGCCATAGAGAGGTTTCATCCAATAAGGCTTATCAGCATACTCCACTCCGCTTCCGGGTATTATATGCGTTACAGTTCTCGTTTCTGCAGTTTTCGTTTCACCGTAATGGAATCAATTCTCCTTCACCTCAAGGATGCGTTTCGTACGCATTTGTCTTGAATGATCCGAGTATTGGAGGATTGTCGCGGACCTTCTCCGCCATTCCTGCCGCTTGATGGATTCTACTGCCTTTTTTAGTTCGCTACCACCGCTCTGAGGGTGAGCGCAATTTCGGCGGTGTATCCTCTCATACATATCCACCAGTATGTCCAGAGGTAGAATTAGAAAGCAAGCGAATACAGTTGAAATTCAAAGGATATGGATCTATATCCTCGTGATATGTATGGACCATACAGCCACTCGTCTCTGAACGCTGTAGACTTTAGATCTACAACGTCGAATGACAACCATAAGCTTATACCAGAATTAGCAGAACATTCGAAGATGAGAAATAAATGAAGTCAGCCGCAGAGTAGAACTTTGATGGCACAGACGGAATTTTTTTAAACGAAATACAAGCACTCAACAGAAGATGCAAGAAGTTAGTTGGACTAGAAGAGAATTATATTCAAAAGGGAATTATATTAATACAGATAGATTTATTTCTATGGTACAGATGTTAAGCCTACTAATCCCTACTCTGGACAAGTATTATTCTGGATTTGGATGTGTTCGTAAATAAAAACCTGGCCAATAACAACTTGATTCATGTTGTGAGTCGAATCGGATTTGGCTCGGAAGATGGTGATAGATTTATATTATAACTTTAATACATTACAACTCAGTACTTTGCAGCTATTAAACCTATTCCGATCTTTAAGGGCGAAATTGTTCAAGAACTGTAGAAAATAAATAGCCTTTTATTTTTGATTTATTACTTTTCATTTACCTGATTATTAACGGTATTCTGCATTGGATTTATAGAGTACCTAATGATACACTTACATGACAAACAATGAGACACTTTACAGCGTTGTTAATGTTTTTAATTCGAGCAACAAAACTGAAATTTAGTGACAGGAATATAAATATTCGAATATTTCATTATACATTTTTGTCATTTTCAGAGGATCCTGACCTATCGGGTATCGCTACTGTACATTCTTAACACCATTGACCAGGTTTTTAAAGTTTCCATTACCTCTACACCAGTGAAGCCGGAAGAAAATGCCGAAGTTACAATTATTTATAGACCTAATGTAGTAGGCCTATCAAATACTGAATACTATTTGATTGATGATTCATATGGAAATAGTTATAGGTTGACCGTCACTGGAAAAAGTTTCGGTAAATAAAAATAATTTATCACTTATAGATACTATATATAGACTATATACATATATAAATCATACGCAAGGACCCGATGTCCTTGCGTAGGATATGGAAAGCATATTATTAATTAACTAAAATATTAATAATGACGTTATATTCCACTTTAAAGTCATAAGGCACAATCCCATGAACGCCAGGCCAGGCTTTCATTATTTCATAAAAGCTGGAAGTTTCTTAGTGAATGCTCCTAACTCAGGTAGAAACTTTATCAATTACTTTCATTTAATAAACTTCAAAAACAATAGGATTGTTTATGCAGTTTATTAAATAAAAGTGTTTATATGATAAGCATTTGGGAATAAAATATTAAATAACAGACTGCGGTAAAAATATCTTTTTATTATTACACTTGCAGGGCCGGAAGTAGCATTAAGTAAGAAGAAAATTACGTTCAAAATATGTAAAAACGTATCGGAGCAAAGAAAAGAAACAATATGCATAGTTAACAAGACCAGTGTCGACACTGCGTACCAATGGCTTTTGCCTTATGGCGGCCAAGGATATTTTCAAGTGAGAATATTCATTTTAATATGATCCAAAAGTAATCGTCAAGGCCATTTACACTCACACATTCTTTGCGCCGTAACATCTGACCTTTGATTTTGCCCTTTTTACTAAATGTTAGTAAATTTATATAAAGTAAAGTAACAGCCTTGAGCCTATAAATGTCCCACTGCTGGGCAAAGGCCTCCTCTGTACAGAGGGTATCAGGCCATAGACCACAATGCGCCCGCACTGTGGATTGGCGGACTTCACATATCTACGAAATATATTTTGAGAGGCAATGTTTTTCTTCATCGCTGAGTACGTGATATGTCAGCACTTAAAATTAACAATTTCATTGGTAATTAAAATTTTTATAGTCTTGTATCTTCTTGTATTTACTGATGTTTTTGCTTTCAGTCCCGAAACTATTAAAGCTTCATCTGACGCATTATTTCTATAGTGCTAATCTCTGCAATTAAGATTAAACAGAAAAATGTATAGTAAAAAGGAACGAAAAGTTTCTCGCCGCTGTGGGAATCGAACCCACGTCTTCGGAATTTGCGCTCTGACGCTTTAGCCACTAAGCTAAACGGCTGATTGCCACACCGACGAAATTCTCCACCTCCTTTATCTACATTGTTTTTTAGCATTTGAAGCAATGCTTAGCGTATCAAGCATCCATTGTTATATCCTTTCCGGCTTACATACAATTTCGAATATCGTTTTGCAACGATAATTCGAACGAGAGATGTCGCCATAGCTTTTTAGAAATTTTAATTTTTATAGTGCTAATCTCTGCAATTAAGATTAAACGTTAAAATTTGTAGAAAACATTAAAATTTCAATGGTGCCAGCACCGGGGATCGAACTCAGGTTGCACGAGTATATTGAATTTAAAGGCGAGCGCCCGCACACTTTCACGACCTTTACCATAAATTTATATAGAATCACGGTATCGAAATACAATGGAAGACAGACAGTCATAGCAAATGATAACGTGGTCCTAGTGCTTTATGTTTGGTCTGTGAAGACGTACACATAAGTACACTAACTTATAAGCAAGTCTAAAAACCTTATAAATACAGATATCAACCGGCAATTGCGGCTTGATTCGTGCTTATGAAAACATCACAACGACGATCACCTTTACTGGTTTGGCTCTCGGTATATATACGGCTGAATTAGTTTTCTTGGTCTTAAATCAGGTAAATTAATATGTATATTTTAATGAGTTTTATTGTCTAATATGTCGGTTGTCATAATGAAAATGTCTTGTTATGTTAAATGTCTGTCGTTATTTGATTCAATTAGGAACCTTTATTCCTCAACGTGATTGCCACAGTTACGTTACCCGGCAACACGACTTACAATGTCGAAGACCACACGTTCGAGAAATATTGGAAACGCAAGTGTCCGTCCTCATATCTAATGGAGAACAGCTTAAACCGTCTGACATACATTCCATCAGCTTCGGTCTTCGAGAGATGCCTCGATTTCGGAATGGGCAGTGTAACAGACATCAGCATGAACATATCGCAGACACTATGCGTCACTAACCATGAACAAGTTGAAGGGTATATGCAGTGGATTCAAGGTTTGATTGTCCTAACCAACTAAAATGTCCTCGTTTTCTAAGCAAGTTGGAGTCCTGCTTTCTTCTGAAATTACTTTTGGTAGTTGTTCCTTGAAAGGATTATCCCTTTACGCACCTCTATACATTTAATCTATATAAATTGAATTTCATAATTAGTTTTTCGTATATCAAAAGAGAATCATGATTGTAAAGGAATGACCCTGTCACCACTTTTAAGTTGTATCAATTGAATAACAATTAAATAGTTAAGAAAAACTCTTAACAAGAAACTTCCATGAAATGTCCTCTTTTAGATCTACATCTAAGCTTTATTATTGCTAAGTACTAACTTAACATAAATTACGTTTAAGCAAAATGTCAATAGCAGGTCAGATTAAAAAAAAATTATTATGCTTTCGCAATAAGAAAACATTAAATGCTAACATTTGAAGAAATTTCAGAATAACACTGGAATATTTTTCTATTTTACTGAAGCTTTTCCGATTGATTTACTTGTGAATATTGCCGACAGACCCTGATAGTGTATTCATGGTGGATCCGATCGACGCAGTGATACCCTCTAACGAATCCAGGCTGTTTACGATTCGTTTCAGGTAAAAACCATTTATCTCACCGGGTAAATCTTTACGGGGCGGTCGTAGATGGACTACATAGAAGAAAGTTTCCTTTAATTCAATTTATTAGAGGGGGTTCAGCGTTCAGCAGTAAAAACATTTTGCATATTTCAAAATCAAAAAATCACATTGATTTTTACGTTGCGCAATAACTTCTGGTGTGTCAGATGAAGCTTTAATAGTCTCGGGACTGAAAGCAAAAACATCAATTAATACAAGAATAACTTCTGATCTATTTTATTCTATTATCTATTTATCCCTGACGGATATGCCAGTGACAGATCAATATGATCGGGATAGGTAAGTCACCTAAAGGGTGACAGGTTGTCGTTGTACAAAATATAGTAAGTTGGCACAACGATTTTTAACTTGAAAGTGAAAATCGATGCTTAGGTATATCAGATATCTTCAAAATAAACAGAAATAAACTATAAACAATGTTCAATATAACTAGAAATGCACTCGTTTTTATAATCAGCGTTACGGAAAATTTTCCAATATGTACAATCACAATAAAATCATAAAAGGTTAAATGTCAAAAATTTGTATGATTCCGTCCATTGAATTTATAAAAGTATTTAGAAAAAAAAATATCAATGTCTAGTTCCTACTTTCCTAAAGTTCCTACATTATGGCGGTCGACAAATAATTAAAGTTTCTGGTTCCACAATTTCCTTACATTCTTTAGACCAAAAGTGGATAATGAAGCATACGGCTATTTGCTCTGCGGTGACTACCAGCACAAACTCTTCAATGAAATGAGCTCCAAAGTTAAGTTTAAGCACAGTTGGTTTCGCATACCATGCATCGGCAACACTTGGTCTGCATGCACCGAATGGCAATCGGCTTGGGACTGTCCGATAGAGGTAAAATCATTTGAAATTGCCTTTTAAACTAATACTGTTTGCGAATGCCTTTATAATTTTATTTCTTCTTTTTTGACGTCGCAACGGCTGGTGTAAAAACCCTGTAATTAGATAAATAATTAATTTTATAAGTATCAATTTATATAGTCTGTAAAATTTATTTTATTCTGTAAAATTTTTTATTAAAGAAAAGTACCTATATACATGGTCAAATCTATGGCAATAAATAAAATCAATATTAAGGTAAGCCCTAAATACATAACGAGCTATATCCACCATAGGCTGTTCGCTAAAAGACCTTTTGGAACAGTATTTTTAATATCTGATACCATTAAGATTAAGATTTGCGACTTCAATAATGATACCGATAAAAATTCAATAGATCGTATTTTTATTTTTGTATTTCGAACTTTTGCCATAGGTCACTTTACCACCTACTGTGCCAGCAAGAACCACCTTCACCAACTTCATGCTTTCAAACAAGCTTGAGATACCAATGTATTTTAAATTTGAAGCGCCGTTTAAAACGTAAGATTGTTGTATGATTTTTACTCTGTATCTTTATATTATCTTGAATATGATTTTACTTAAGTCTGATTTACGCAGTAATAAATAATAATATTAAATGTTTGCTAAAAAACTTGATTAACCTTTCTTGTACTCACAATTCGGATTTGATTTAACTAAAATGAGAACCAAATGATTTCAATAAGTTTTGATTTTTGCAATGACGAAAAGGGGAGTTGCCATATTCTTCACCACAACGGTGAAGAAAATAGTTTTTGTAGGGCAGAAAATGAGGAAGACCTGGATTTTAATTATATGCCACGAATCAATTGCAGAAACTTTGTGATTTTACCTATGTGCGGTACCGTACCAGGCCGAGGATGGCAGATTATATCGGTGGCCCTGGAACCGATGTCTTTCGGGGAGTACTACGAATCTTGGGACTTGTTCATAAACAGATCTCATAAGGTATAGTTACAATATTAATTTTGTTACTTCAAAAACTAGATAATTTAGATAGTAAATGAAAAGATATCACCGATTGTAAAGCACTCGCCCTCTCTCCCTCTATCACTAATGTTCTAACCAGCTTCACAAAGATATTGGTTGCCAACCATCAAAGGCAATCGTTAAATTAGTAAATAAGCTGAATGTTTGAAAACTTGAGTTTTATGTCGATTCAGGTTTTCGGTTAGGATGTTTTGACACAATGGCAGTCTCTTGTTTTCATTTAATATATTATGGCAACGTTAATAGTTTATTGTATATTGTTGTCTAAATCTTCAATTTAGTTACATACTGTACGGTACATTTAAAACTTTTGCAGACTAAGTTTAAAAATATCGAAAAGATGAGCGACAGCACTCCACCCTCAAATCACATTGTCTTAATGGACGCTTAGTTCATTTAAATAAAATAAAATAAATGATCGTTTAAACACTTTTCAGACTCGTGTAAGTCTATGTGGTAATGCAGAAGTGAGCCAAATAGAGGTATTGTCCCACGGTTTTAACCCTTCCACGCACGCAATGTATGAGTTCCCCCCAACAATTACTGGATGTACGAATTATTGCACGGCTTACCTTCACAATTTAACGCGGATGGAAATACAGTCAGTGTTGATATAAGTTTTTCTTTACAAACTTACGTAACTTATTTCTTACTTGCCTATCAGTCGGATAGTACTCGTAACAACTACCACAGAATCCACCTCATGGCATGTATTGTGACAGTAAAAGTGCTGGCTAAGATATTTTATGAATATTTTAAATTGTAGATAAATGAACAAAAAGTTTCGGCACTGCGGGGTTCGACCCTGCGTCTTCTGGTTTCGCGCCCAGATGCTTTTCCAACTAAGCTAATAAGCTCATTTTCAACAGACTTAAAAAAATTAATAATACTTCGCGTTTCGTCTGGTGAGTGAGGTGGCCGGAGCCCAATTTTCAATTGGTTGTCAACGCATCTGGAACCCTTGTATGTAGCAGATGTCTATGGTGGTATTCACTTAACATCAGGTGAACCGTCTGCTCACTTGGCAACTTTTAAAAAGTAGGGGGTTCTCAACTCGACTGTTTTTTTTTGTTACCTCCGAACTTTCGGTTGAGTGAAGCGATTTTGATGATTCTTTTTTTATTTGAAAGCTGATGCTTCCCATATGGTCCCATATTAATTTCTTTGGTATTGGATTTTGGGCTATAGAGATACTTAGGGAACTCCTTGAAATCAATTATAAAATGAATATAGAGCGACTGATATTCGATGTCGGTTTTGTTTTTCGTTAATAAAACATGGACTAGTATAATTGTGTTTGCCATAAAGGAAGTATACTAGATGAAGCCAAGCATTGCTAAAAAGGGAATAAAGTAGATAAAATAGGCCTCCCCTCAGTCTGGGCAGGAGATCTATGTTCAGCTCTGGGCTTTAAAAGGCTATAATAATGACGATGATGATGATGAGACAAGACGTCAAGATTTTCGTGCGTTGAGGATATCAACCCCTTATCTTAGTATTTAGATTATCTGAGCGCTCGTAAGGCGCAACTTCAAATTATGGCAGAAGCCAAAATATTTCCGACTATTTATCTACACATTTTAAGTGACTGTTCCCTATTCAATCCAGCCATTACACCTTATATTAAGGCACCAGTACCGGTCAGACTATTTCTAGCACCCATTGTTCGACTTGTAAAATAATTTTCAGTTTACCTGCCAAATTCGTGCAACTGAGAAGATTGTTCCGTGGCCCTACCACAGTTAAAACTGGTAACAGACGTGTCAAATTTTCAGCATGAGGGTTCTGAACAATGTTGATTGGCTCGGAGCAGACAATAGCGGTGCGATAGTACTACCGCCCCGAGAAATTATACGATACCACTGGTGGTTCTTTCCCAAGGAACCAGACAAAGTGTATGGAACTACCGTATGCTGTTCATGTATTTGCCTTATCAATGGCAGGTCAGATATATGTAACTCTTGGATGGTAGAAACACAAAATGTTCTTAGTTATTGAATTGATTCATGATTATTTTATCTTTGTCGTTTATCCCGATTCCATCTTTTCTCTGGCAGACTGATTTGACCATTTTACATGATATAGTGCTAATTATTCGTGTAACTATTGATTTAAAAATAGTAGGTGTTTATCGGAAATATTGTTCTTAGTTGGAAGTCAATATGACGACTGCTATATTGATTGCCAGTATAGCTATCTGCTTCGGCGCCAGAGGTCATGACTTCGATTCCCACACGGGACAAGTATTATTGTGACTCTCAAATAATTATTTCGCAACTGGTTGTTAATTCCCAAGTAGGGTCGACGTCAGACTTGTGGCTGATCTTAAAACCATTCAAAATATTTTCAATAATAATTTAATAACTAAATCAGTAATTTGACTTAAAAGGGTTAACTATTAAAATTAGGGTTCAATAAAAAGAAATACGTTTCTAGGCCGATTGGAGAACCTACGGAAATTTTTATTAATATCTCTGGATTTTCCGAGTTGCCGGATTTGAGAGTAAGTATTATTTATACTTTATGTTACAAACAGATTAATAGTGGTTTCAATTGAAAATAATTTTACATTTTGCTTTTTGTAATGAAACATCACAGAAGTTTTGGTTTTTTCAACTATTTGTACGACTTAATATTTCTTTAATTTTTAGTGATTGCAATTTTCGCTATTTGTATTTTACTTATTATAAATATAACGTTATGTGTGCAGGTTATCCCGAAAACGGTGAATCTTCACGACGTTGTGGTGGATGATACCATGACATATAACTTCACGTTGTATAATTACGGCTCTTGCTTCTTTACGTCTAAGCTGTATTACGAAATTGACGGTATGGGGGATGACTTTCACGGAGACAAAATTGATATTGATCCAACAATTGTAAGTGAATGGAGTATAAATAAAGCTTATTGCTAGCTATTCGTTATGAAATTGTGCGAAAGCGTAACATCTGAATTTAATAAATTATTGGTATCTAGGCTCCCTTATCTATAGGTACATTTAAACCCATGTGTATGCGTTAAAATGTACAAATAGTGTTATTGCATGAAATCGCACCTATTTTATAGTTTGGTTACATTAGTCATGCTAGCTATTATATAGAACTATCATCATCATTATAGAATTATCCATCACATAATGTTAATTCTAAACTAAACCTCTCCCATAACCAAGTTTTCTGTGTTTGGAAATATTGGCAATTGAAAAAAACACCACCAATAGACGAAACATTAACAAAATAACAATATTATCAATTCAATGTGACAATATACGAAACTGTTATGTTATAAACAGTTTAATACTTCATACTACCAATACGTCGTTATATATTTTTCATCACAATCAGAACAGTCTTAAACCATCGAATCACTGCGAGGTGACGATGACTGTATCACCGCACGGCGCGGGCCCGCGTCAGGTGGACCTGAAATATACGGTACTGTACCGTTCCGAATACGGCGAGGTGGAGGAAATACAGCCCGTGAGGAAATCAATTTGCGTCGTTTGGTACGACGGGATTTACCCAACACTTAAGGTTTGCGACGAACGATGTTTAAACAAACGGATTAGACTTAAGTGATGTGCTTATCTTCAATAGTTAGGTGCGTTATTTTCAGCGTGGAAAGGAAGGCGAAGCGGGCGAACGGGCATATCATCGTCGCCGTTCTGCTTTACGCCTGGCTTTACGGATGTAATAGTTGTGCACCATCTAAAATGTATATGAAGAAACGCTAAATCTATCTAGAAATGCTCAGTGGCTAGAGCGTCAGGCCGCGAATGCCCAAGACGTGGGTTTGATTCCCACAGCGGCGACAATCTTTTCATACTTTTTCTACAAATTTTAATGTTCAGTCTTAAGTGCAGAGATTAGCACTATAAAAATTTAAATTTCTATGAAGAAACGCATTCAAACGTATGACAATCTTAAATACATTTTTCCTGTGATGTCTACCTTCTCGAGCCATATTTACTAACTCAAGAAGATAGTAAATGGCCCGAGAAGGATACTACTTCATTTATGTTATTTATGTCAGCGTCGAACGATGTCCTCTATATATGCACTTCCTCTTCAGAAGGTTGACTGTAAATAAACACCCATCCTTTTTATTAGTGCATGTTAACGAAGTAATATAAATTTTGATAAATGTTAAATTTTAATATCTTTTTTAGGTTAAGAGGACCATTTCTGTTAAATGTCCCATCATTTTGAGTGATCACTGCTTATGGAATATTGTAAATGTGGGCGAGTGAGTAATTTTTCGAGTTAAACTTATCGTCTATCATTATATCTTTAACGCACAATTTCCCCATCTGAGTTTTATTAACAATGTTGTGTCTATTGGAAATGCCATTGGTTTTATATATTAATATTTGTAATTATAAATATTAGTTACCTTTATTACTCTATTAATAGTTTTATCGTATATGTTTTTTATTAATTTTGTATTAAGATTTGCATCAATGTATGTGTTTCTTAACTTGTAATAAAATTTCCTTAAATGTTTTCCTCGTTAATTGCAATTTCCAGATTTAATCGGGCCCTAATGGATGTCAGGCCAAATAAACCATTGAACGTGAACCTTCACGCTCCCGATCTCTGTGTGAAGTCTGGTGAAATAGAATTTATATTTGTTCTTGGCTGCATCTATTCCGTGCCCGTGCCTTGGAGTCTGCGCAGAAAGAAGATCTGCGACTGCGCTATGGTTGAGGTTCAGACCGGGATTTCCACTTACGAGATGAGACATGCATGTATACATAGAACTTTTGTCGATGTGAGGCCGAATAATGGGATTGTGACGGTAATTTGTGTGGTAGTTAAAAGTTGCTATCGAGTAAAGATATCTAATCAATTCAACTTGTTTTCTTAAGTCGGTTAAGGTAAGGGAAGAAAAGATTAATGATGAAATCTTGATACTTGATTTCAGCCCGAAAATCCGAACTTGCTTTTCTTCAATATAAAATACGGTTACGAAGGACTCAATACTTTATGCTTTACAATGACAATGCCAAATCATCGGACGCTCAACATATATGTCAATATGTACGCACACCTCAGCTCCAAAGGCGTGCTGGTGCCATTTCGAAGATATAGTGGTGAAGGTTATTTAGCAGTCTTGGACTGTGGGCGGGTGCCGATAAATAATTTGAATCATGTCATACGGGTAATATATTGGCAAGTATAGCGGTAGTAGTTTGTTTTTTTTTTGGCTTGATGAGCCACTGTTGACCTTAGGGGCCTTTACAGTTCCGACGGACTTGAGGTGGCCTGGCGCTCGAGGCGCCTAGCCGATAGACCGGTAGTAGTATTATGTCGCACAGCTGGGCAAATTCTTTCCATTAACAGAGTATTTGAGTAAACTCATTCTAAATTGAATTAACACTATTTTTGAGATATATATTACAATTATCATGTTGTGAGTGATTTGCATTTTGTGCATAAATAACTGCGAATGTATTTCGTCAACGAAATTGTACAAATATTACACGTTCTTTTTTACATTATATCGATCATCATACTTTTTTTTAAGTTTTTTAAGTTTTTTCGACTATCCTATATCTGACGAGATTAATGACTGATGCAACAATGATGAATGATTATACAAATATAATTAATAATGATTATAATGCCCCACGGACCAATGCCTTTCTCCTGCCTAATACCACTTAGGTGGGGTCGGCACATGTGAAATATGTTTTAATTGAATTGGTGGACGTCAAGCCTCTGTGGGAGCAAGTACCCAGATCATGTTTCAGGGTCGCACAAATACTAGTCCCGTGTGGAAACCAAAACCACGAGCCACGAATCGATGCTAAATACTTAGCATCTGCGTCACCATGTCACCCACAGGCCAAAGTATTGTTACAAAATCCTTCTCAATTAGGGTTGAATTTATACTTTACTAGACCTATGTTATTAGACTTGCCGGCCGAATATTCTTCGCGACCCTCCCCTACACTATATTTGGCCAAAACATCATCACTATATAGTATAAAACAAAGTCGTCCCGCAATCTGTCTGTCCCTATGTATGCTTAGATATTTAAAACTACGCAACGGATCTTGTTGCGGTTTTTTTTACTAGACAGAGTGACCACGGCGAAGCCGGCGAGTAGCTAGAGATTTGATAAAAAAATCCCGTACTTCTAGATTGCTTGGCTTTACAATCCAACTGAGGTTTTCACCACGTGGCGCTTGTTGCGCTCCAGCGCGACACCAGCGGACGCCACCATACGATGCCTCCAATACTTCGCCGAGGTCTCGCCATTGGACAAGTTGGCGATACCATTCGCGTTTCTTCCCACGCAGATGATCGATTACGAGGTAATGTTCCCCCTTAACTCGCACGTCCCCTACCGTGGACCCTGATCACGAAAAATCTTTACCTTGTATACGGATTTTGAGATGATGCAAATATCATTCATCCCTATCATTCGCGTTCCTACGCGTGATGTAACGAACTCGGCGAATCCCCTACCTCGGGCTCCGTGCACGGTGAAGATTTATTTATCGCAACCGGTATACGGTTGCGATAAAGCGCAAATGCCATCGATCTCTATCATTCGCGTTCCTACCCACGCAAATCATCGATTACGATGTGATGTAATGAACTCGTAGAATCTCTTACGACGGGCTCCGTTCACGATGAAGCTTTGCCTAATTTAGCAACTAATAGAAAGCACAAATATTGTCATGTAAAAAAGAGCTTAATAAATATTTTCGGCGTTGCCAGTTTTTGGTGCTATAAGACAAGATTTCTAAATCTGAACAAACATCTGTAGGCAGCTATTTTATTATCTCTGAGAATCGAAATGTCGCGCCGTGATTACAAAATCAAGGCAATTGCAGAAACAGACAAATATTTTTTGCCATTCGCTGTCCATCTTCTTACATTAAAAAAATGTGTTCCCGTATATGATAATGATAGAGGCGAATAGGGACTTTTTTATCTTTTCAGGCTACATTTCTGTGTTCATTCGGCTACGATGTGGTGAGGATATTGGTGAAAGGGCAGGGCGGTTTGCCGAACTGTATCGAGACTAGGCTCGATGTGCCTAGTTACGTGGAGAGAAATATTCGTTCAGCGTACAGAAGTGACGTCGTAAGTCTTGCGATTTAATCTGTTGCTGTTTCTCGTGGATGGAGACGTAATATCCGGTTTCACAACAGGAAACATTGTGCTAGTTTTATATCAAGATTGATCGTAAAAAGCAGATAATAATAATAAATAAAGTTATTGTTATTTCTGTAAAGGTTATTTCACGCATAAGGACGCTTGTCCGAGGAAATGCCAAAGCCTCAATGAAGACCAGCGTGAATTGGAAGTATATTTATAGTAAAAGCATACTTCTGAATTTCGTCTTGAGATTGAGGTACCCGGGGCCCATTTTTTTAATAGGTGGCAATGCTACCCTCAATCGGCGGTAGTTAGCACTTCACATCAGGTGAACCAACAGCAAACCACCTTCTCTCTCGAAACATTTTTTTTAAACGTAAACCAAGCTTTTCAAGCTTTATCACGCGTAGTGATAAAGGCTGTACTAAAGTAAAATTAATTTTATAACTACTAAGATATATAAAACACACATAAATAAATGAATAAATAAATTTAGCTTTATAATTGCAGATTTACTTATCCAAAGATCACATCACCTTACCAATAATGCCAACTCACTCACTCACGAGGGAAATAATAGCTATCAAAAATGATACGGAAAGTTTAATAAGGTTTATATGGCTGCCGTGAGTCGAAATCAGTTATTATTTTAATTTAATGAATTAACTACGGCAGTTATGGCAGGGTCATGTTGTACAAGTAGGCAGTCTCGTCCGGGGATATAACGCGGCCTAATATAAGACCGCCGTGAATTGGAAGTACCTTGCTTTCGCATTTGGTTGCTTGCTTGCCATTTGATAGTTGGTGACCGGGCTCCACTCTTTGATAGGCTAGCTTCATAATTGGTAAAACCCACAGGTATTACTAATGTTCACTGGTAGCGGTAATTACTTTACATCAGGTGAACTACGTGTTGCTTTGCCAACTCCTCAAATAAAAAGGCGAATTCTTATCCATAATAATTTCATAGAGCCCTGAGGGCTCAGTGTCCGGGCGCTCGCCTTTAATTCGATATACTCTATATGATGTAGCCATCTGAGTGAAATCGCCGGTCCAGATACCAATGAAATTGTTAAATTTAAGTGCTGACTTATCATGTGTTCAGCGGTGAAGGAAAACGTCGTGAGGAAACCGGCATGTTTTCGAAATAATAAAATACAATTTTTCGAAGATATTGTGATTTCCGCCAATCCGCAGTGATTAGTGATTTGAGAATCAAATATTGTGTTTATATTTTAAATTTTACTTTTAGAGAGAGGGTCGCAAACATAATAAACATAGTGATGACTCCTTGGTGGGGAGTCATACAGCCTAAATCAACGGAATGGATAACAATGACCGTGTACACCTTACAAGAACCGGCTACGTTCACGTATGATACTAATTTGCCCCATTAAAACGCATTGCTTTATTTTTGGTTCCAATTTTTAGGTCTTTATAGCTCTTCATAATATCGTAAACCAAAAGTCCCAGATGCAATCGGGGGTTGCATAAATAATATAATCGTCGACTGTATTATGATACAGGAGCGATAAAAAATTTTTGGCGGTCCACTGATTTTTGTGTGCGCAGTCTTTTCATTATAGGAGTAATTTATTATCGCAAAATATACTTTAATGTAGCCTCGGCTAATTTTACACATACAGAGTTGAGATTGTGATGTAACGGTCTCGCTTCATTAGCTTAATTACCAAACTCCACTATTTATTTATCAACGTTGATTGCTTTAATCTTTCGAAAGTAAATTTAAAATAAAATTGTAAATAAAAATGATTTTAATGTGAATTTAAAATAATGTCTGAAGTAATCGGTAATTTTAGTACCACAATTTCGTGTGAAGTTCTCGACTTGACTGAACGCCGCCGTTACCAGCGCAATGAACACTTGCGCAAAGCTAAAATTGAACAATGCAATCAAGAGTTCATCATCACAGAGGAGGGGCTGTTTCATCCGGTAAGCCTAACGTTTTATTATTAACTTAGGTATAGCTCCTTGAAGGATATATATATATATATATATATATATATATATATATAGCTCCTTGAAGGATACATATATATATATATATATATATATATATATATATATATATTTTATAAGAAAATATTTGGAAATTGAAATATTGTGATATAAAAGTTTAAATAAATCAATAGTATAGCGTCCATTATATATTTACAGGGGATCAATGACAATCCGCCATACGTGTTGAATATCGCTAAACCACAGTCGTCGTATTTGGCTATGTCCGTTTCAATTTCGTCAAAAGGCCAGCGTGACGGTTATCCTAGGATGCTATTGAAACAAATGTGGGAACAGGTGTGTAGCATAATCAAACTTCTGAATTTATCATGTCATTTTCTTCCACTTTCCTCTATTAGCTTTCACAGAGTCCATTCAAATTTTCTCGGTCTTTCGAAAGCTTTGCACGTGTAGCATAATTAAACATCCCTTAAAATTCTTGAGCGAAATTGTCAATGCACGTCCGGGTAAATGACTTTCTACGTTTATCGATGTTTTTTTAAAAATAAAACCATAGGGCCCTATCATCATAGTGACCACAATTTTTGTGTCTTAAATTTTTGTGTTTTTTTTGTCGAATTAATTTTGAGCTAATATTTTAATAGTAATTCCGTGTACTTCGTTATGTATTAATTAATTTATGATACAATTGCAATCCTTTCTTCTAGTAGAAATAATATCTAAACTTTCTGAACAATTAAACTCTTTCACCATTAAAATCATAAATGAAACAGACTGTTTATCGATGTTTTAATCGAAAATATACTTTTCTTTCTCTATCTTTTTACAGACCCCGCCCTATGATTTGTTATCTACTGAGATATATATACAAGATGGCCAATTAACTGGAAGTGGTAACAACATGACGATGGATGACATCATCAGAATCATAGAAGGAATACTATGGTAATGAAAATATCTCTGAACAGATATTTAAATACCTGCTATTAACACTAACGCCATTGTTTTTAGGGAGGCACTACACAGTAAACTATTCAAATATCAAATTCAACATTATTCAAAGGAGGAAATACCTACTTATGAACATTTAGTCACAACAATCGAAAGCGAATCGAAACCCAAATTCAGCAAAAGGTATTCTTAACTGATGTGATCTATTTTGTAATAAACATTTATCATAAGTAATTTTATATAATTTTCTTTTTTCGCAGAATCACCTCTGGAATATGCGACGCCATTGTAAACAAAGCTGTATTTAACGTTTACAGTTTAAATTCTAAATCAGCCGTTTCTATCCTTGAAGCTGAATGATGTCAGAATTTCATTTCTCTTATATTTAATAAATTAAAGTTCTATGAATATTATTTACTTCTTATTTAATTATATGTAGATATAACCTTTTTGTTAAGTGTGTAAAAAATAACGAGTGACAATAAATAATAAACTTTTTTCAACAACGTCAGCTTTATTGGTCAATTATTATTTTTGGTCAACTTTTGACTTAATACAAACGTATCCTTACAACTAACGAAGGCGGATTATCACAGATTAAAAATTCAGCTCAGTATCTTGTCGAGTTTGAGTTGCAGTCTTTTGGGTTTGGGCGTGCCGATGACCGTTACGGCCACCCTGTCGCCCAGTTTCGGCGTTTGGTTGCCGCCCAAATTGCTCCTGTGTATGAGGCCGTTGTCACCGACGCCGCAATCTACGAAGCAGCCGAATGGCACCACGTTGCGGACTACGCCTTGAAAACAAATACACAGTAGCATGTGAATATTAAGCCGTTACCTCATTGTCTCATGTTTGCCAGAGAACTAAATAGTGCCAGCCTTCAGAACCTTAGAGGGGAAAGATTCTTAGTATTCCACCATGTAGATAGATAGTTAGAGACCTAAAAATGTACTACTGCGACATCGAGTCGAGTATAATAATAGCGGCGGTCAATTCCGCCATGACATTTTTTGTTCTAAGAAGATGGCAAGCAATCTGGCGGTTAACGTGATGTAAAGCAATAACCACCGCCCGTGCACATTTGCAACACCACTAGGGTTGCAAATACGTTGCCACCTATCAAAATAGTGGGCCCCGGTAACCTCGCTCACCAGACGAAACGCAGAAGTGTAAGATTTACACTTCACGCCGGTCTTCTGTGAGGTCGCGGTACTAACCCGGACAAACCTGTCCATTACATGGCCCTACCATGGACATACCACTCACTCGACGAACTAAGAATTGTTGTTTCGTGTAAAACACGAATTGTACTTATTGGTGTAAAAAGCCTCGTGTCAAGAGTTTTAATAATTTCTTCCCTGTGGTACACTTAACTGAAGGCGGGTGAACTGTTTCCACTCGTTCCTGAAAAAATGCCCGTGTCATTGAAATCGCTACCTGTTAAAGTAACGCCCTTTGATAGCTGTTCTGTCGTCTGTACTGCCAGAGAGTACACCGGCCGGCAGAAACTGATGACATTGTCCTCGTACGGTTTCTGTTTGAAGGCACTTATTATGAGCTCCAGCGTCGCCGCGTCAGTATTCAGCTCTTCGCTGGTCTGTGCCACGTCGATGTTAGCGGTCCCCCTTTCGACCAGCTCCGGGAAATGCGATTGGCTGATTTCTTTAACGTTCACACCGATCTTTTTGGCGAATCTGCATCAATGAAAATTTTATATTTCTTTTTATGCAATCATAAACTGCAGCTTTTGGTATTTGTAAACTCTAAACAAAAATTAAATTCCAATTAATAGAGCCTTTTTAAAAAATATGAATTTTACCAAATTTGTAGTGTTTGGCTTTCCTAAGTTTCGTGTGCTTTAAATGCCAATATTTTAACTTTTAATTTATAAAAACTATCATTGGTTTCTCGTTTTAATTAAAATTTTTAACGAAAATAAAAAGTTCCATTTAAAGAAGAATATCATAATTTATTAATTAAAAGTTAATAACTAAAATTTATCAATTTAAGGCCAACGATCGTATAAAACGATGTACAACATGGTATTCGTACCATTCATACCAAGACTTCTGTGATAGGGCTACGCAACAGCTTCTGCGGTACTACGATTAATAGGGCTCGTCCACAGACACTGGTACTGAGTGTAGTATTATACTTTCGCGTTTCGTCTGTTGAGTGGTAACTGGCACTTTTTCAAAAGTTGTCAACGCATCTGCCGTCAAGTGTTGTAGTCTTGATAGCTCATTGTCCGGGCGGTCGCTTTTAATTTAATATACTAGAACAACTTTGGTCCGATCCCCGGTGCCGGCACCTATGAAATTGTTAATTTTAAGTGCTGACTTATCACGTGCGTCAGCGATGAGGGAAAACGTCGTGAGGAAACCTGCGTATTTTCGAAATAATAACATAAAAAAATATTTCGATGATATGTGAAGTCCGTCAATACGCACTGGGGCAGCGTGGGAACTATACCCTAATACATTCTGTACAGAGAAGGCTTTTACCCAGCAGTGGGACATAGGCTGTAACTTTTCTTTTTTAAGTGTTGCAGATATCCATGGGCGGCGGTCTTCGCTTAAAATAGATATTGCACATTAAAAAAAGACTGTTGCGAGCTCAACAACCGAAACATTTTAAATCACTAGTCGTATTAACTTATTTTTAGCTATTGCGACATATCATGAAAAATACATACAATTTTGCGATACTGTAACTCTCCGGATGTATAATGGTTGCGTCTAACGGCTCCTTTCCAGTCAAGACCTTAAGAAACCCAGCACACTGCTGATAAGTAATTTTCCCAATTCCTGTCACTTTTAAAATCTCCTCTCTTGTTTTGAAACCACCACTGTCCTGTCGATAGGCTAAAATTTTTTTAGCCCGCCCGTCATTCAAACCTGAAATGCGTCTGCAAAAATAAAAAGTGCAAAAAGACATGAAAAAAATTGGAGTGGTGCGGTAGGAGAACTGTCGTCGGGACCCGAGTTCCTCAACTCCGAATGTAAGAACTCTTTAAAGCTTTGAAGCTTTAAAGTCCTTACCTTAAGGTCGAAATTACATTAAACATTATTATTATTAAACAGCGCACTCGCTTGTCCGATATTGAAACTATATGAGTATATATACCGTTATAATTGTGTGACGATTTATACCACTCACAAGCCGCTATAACGAACTTCGTTTAAAAAAATCATAATTTCTTGCATTCTGCTTTAATAAAAAGTAACAAAACACAAGATTAACTTCAAAAAACATTGTATCTTGGGAACCGGAGTTGCGACTAAAGATAAATGTGTTGTTATAGAGAACTTTATTTGGCATCAAACAAAACTAGAACATAAAAGAACAATAAAAATAACAGTAAAACCTACATAATTATAAGGGACAATGTAACCGAATTGTGTTGATGCATGACCACTTTTTAAAAGATAGATAGATAGATAAACGCATCTACGGGTGTTACAAAACATGTCAATGTACGGCAGTTATCACTTAACATCAGGCGTACTATCGTGTAATATTTTATAGCAGGAAGCAGGAACAAGCATATGAATAATTTTTAAATTAAAAAATATATGTATTGTACTGTACCTCAACATAGCTTGTGACGCTGTATTTATGTCAACACCCACAAGACTTACTACCTTCTCCACTGTTGCGTCTAAGGCCGTTTCTAGCATTTTTGGCGGAATGTCGTGTTGGTAGAGGCCTACGCCTAAATTCTTCGGATCCACCTGGTTAAAGGAGATAAACAAGCTTTATTTTCTACTAGCTGCTGCCCGCGACTACGCCTGCATAGAATAGGCTGAAGGCGTAACATTCAGACAGAAAGACAGATATACATAAAAATATGTATATAATTTATAGGCTGTGTTATTCTGTGAGCAATAAGCTATATTATTATAAAGTTTCATTAAAATCCATTCAGTAGTATTTGCGTGAAAGAGTAACAAACATCCATCCATACATACTATAAACTATCGCCTTTATAATATTAGTAAGGATGAAAAAAGTGCAAGTAAGTAAAACTGGAAATAATTACTTTAATCAATTCTCCCAACGGATCCAATACTCGCCGCGCTATTGACAAGGCGGAAATTAGATTGGGATCCATATCGGGATGTTCCTGAAAAATGTAAGACAGTAGTTATTTTTATTTTCTATTAATAATGTTACCTGTTGTTAAATGATGAAATGGAATACATAAAATTTTTACAAATGAGTTCAGTTAGAGATTATTTTGTAATGTCAGAAGGTGGCAAGTGACCTGGCCGTTCAGCTGATGTTAAGTGACAACCGCCGCCCATGGACATTTGTCATTGCAGATGCGTTGCTGACTTATAATAAAGTGGGCCCCGGCTACCTCACCTACCAGACGAAACGCAGAAGTATAACACTTCCACTTCACGCCGGTCTTCATAATAATCATAATCATCTTTATGTGCAGAAATATGGTAGATAAAGATTTTCAGTATAGATAAAAGTACAGACATATTTCGCCTCATGGGCATGCAAATATTTCACAAATAAATAATATAATTAATACAAACACAATCTAAGTCAATCACCATACTATTAATTACCGTAAATTAAAACAAAATGAACAAAAATTGTCGAAATTTTAAGCAATAACAAATAATATCAATCACAAAAATAAATAAAATATAATGTCATAATTCAATACACTCATAATTACAGTAATTGAGAAAAAAAATATTAATATGTAGTATTTTATGTGTTTTATATATATAATAATAAATAATAATAACATTATTCAATATCCCTTCTGTGAGGTGGTGGTGGTGAGGTCGTGCAACAGCGAAGACTGTTGCGTGGCTCTACCACTGTTAAACCTAAAGATCACTATTTAGTTTGTTATATGAATAAAAATAGATGAATCATCGAATAAAAAGTTACCTTCTGTGCTTCCTTGCTAACGGAATAGATAGACGCGCCTTGCTCTGGTACTATAATTACTGGAATATTGTCGGATATATGATGAGTTTTCAGCCAGGCTTCCGTTTCGCGGCATGCAGTTCCATTGCCCAAGCCAATAAGGTCTACCCTAGACGGAGGATGAAATAAAACGCCAGACGCAAATCTAAATTATTCTAACCGTACTTGTGTTGAAATAATGTTTTGTAACTAAAGTATTACGAATTTGTTACGTCTGGGGTGTCTTAATGGTAACGCATAGCGTTAAGGGAGGGGATGAACAAATTGAGATGTAAAGTGAAATTAAGAAAGTCATTTGGCACACAACATTTATCGACTACTAGTCAACTGGAATTAAATTCTTTTACTCCTCAAACAGAGTCTCTTTAATGTCTAAAGTTAAAGTTCTAAAATTTAAAGAGAGTCGGCAGAACAATCCAACCTGTGTTTCAACAAAATGTCCTCGAGCTGTTTTGCGGCATGATCTTTCACATTGTGCCGCCTTAAATCTGGATAAATTGTACAGGCGTCAAGTTTCACACCATTTGCGTTTATGATTCCTACCTGCCGGATAAAATTGGAGTATACACAATGACCTTTAACAATTTGATTAGTTTGGATTGTTTTTTTTTTCATGCCAGAAGGTGGCAAGCGAGCTAATAACCGCTGTCCAATGAGATTTGCAACACCCGTAGGGTTGCCACCTTTTAATAAAATGGGCCACGACTACCTAACTCAGTAGGACGAAGAACTGTAGCGCTTCCATTTCACGCCGGTCTTCTATGAGGTCGCGTTACTTACCCGGACGGACCTGCCCACTCGTGCAACAGCGTATACTGTTTGATGGCCCTACCGCAGTTAAAAAACATAAATCGTACCTTACAGCCGGCTTTAAACCCAGGATCCAGGCCTGCTATGGTCTTGTTCTTGATGGGTTCAGTTAGCAAATACTTTTCTAGATTCGCTGTAAACGTGTTCACCGCCTCCTTGTGGGCAGCGGCAGTGAGCTCGGACCTCACTTGCCTCGATAGCCAAGGTTTCATCAGTCGGTTGTAAGCGTCACCTAATCCTTTCCGCACCCAGTTAGTACTTTTCCAAAGAGTCATGCAATACCTAAAAACACAATCTTTATCTATATATATATATAATTCTTCTGTACGTGTGAGTCACTGAACTCCTCCTAAAGGCTAGACCGATTTTAATGAAATTTTGTGTGTGTGTCTTCGTCGATTCGAGAAGGGTTTAAACACATTTTTTTTTTAATTTTTTATTTATAAGTTGTTTTCGGATTACAGTCGTGTTTACAGTTTAAAATTTGTAGAAAAGTAACAAGCATTGCTTCAAATGCTAAAAAACAATGTAGATAAAAGACGTTAAGATTTTCGTCGGTGTGGCAATCAGCCGTTTAGGTCAGTGGCTAGAGCGTCAGGCTGCGGATGCTGAAGACGTGGGTTGGATTCCCACAGCGGCGACAATCTTTTCGTACATTTCTACAAATTTTAATGTTAAATCTTAAGTGCAGAGATAAGCACTATAAAAAATTTTAATTGAATTTAATGTCTTTTTCACAAACAACGAGTTCTGATACAGGGGATACGATTTTTAGTTATTTTTCTTTCGTTTCGCTAAGAAAGTATAACTTCTTACGTGCTTACATAAGTAGACACACGTTGTTTTTTTTTATGAAAACGAGCTAAGTTATAATATGCGCGCTGATTTTATAAAATGGATAAAATCTAACAACGCCTTTATTTGAAACGATGACCGCCAATCAAACCGCACTATGTCAACGGCTGCAGAAACATTGGCAAATTGTGTGATCTGACTTTAGCTGGGTGGTTTTCCAGGAGATCGCTGACACCATAGGCGCATCGTGTGAGCGAATGCAAAATGTCATAATCAATTGGCTTGGTGAACTATGGATTCGACAGACGTGTGAACGCGAACTTGTCACGAAACAGGGATGCCAAAAATTAAAAAATATAGTATAAGTTAAGATATATTGATATTTTTTCGGCCTCCCTATCCCGAAACAACTATTTCTTTCTGATCAATCCCAGGCATTTTTCAATTTCCTTCATGTGAAGGAAAGGATGCAGTCATATGGTAATTTATTGTTTTGCCTTTTTTGTACTCGGTTCACTCTCTCATTACTCTCATTGCTTGTTATGTCGAAAGGTAATTAGGTATGTTTTTTTTCATTTCAGAAAATATCCTTTGTACATTAGACTTCCCGTTAGGATTTTAACTTATAAAATTCTTTAGGGTTAACCATTTAATTTATCATTGATATAATGAAGCACTTGAATGAAAATAAATTAGTTTAAGTAAATTAGTGTATAATCAATACTATACACACTTTATGTGTGACTGCAACTTAGTATTGATTATACAGGGTTACTTTTCTAAAGGTGCCCAAATTCACACAGGAGGTTCAGACTCTGTAGTAAAATCGTTTTTTGAAATAAAAACAAACTTTTTTTTTCAAAAAAATTGCTATTCTATTCCCTAAAAAACAGAACTTGTTGACATTGCAGTACTCATTCATATTCATAAATGCGTCGTATACCTTTGAAACGAACCGTGTTAGTTATGAATGATCGCACGCAAAATAAATGAGTTGCCCATAAATCACGCCTTTTTCAGATAAGTTGAAATGAATGTAATTGATTAATTATGAGTGATTTTTTATATAACATGATTTATGTCTAGAATTGAATTAAAAAAATGGATACACTTAGAAAACCCTCCCTGTAAATACTTAATATTTGTGTCATGAAACTTATTATAAACTATAAAATGTAAAAAAATATATAAAATACACACCTTTCAAGCCTATTATAGTACCAATCAGGAATAAGTACTTTCACAGATAGTATTTTTTCATCTTCACCTCTATTGACTGCTAAAATTTGGTATGATTTCACAAAATGTGTAGGACATTTCCAGTCAAAGTATATTTTATAAGTCTCCGGGTCAGATTTACTATCATACTTTTTGGTATCTTCTTTAATTTCTTTTGTTGAACTTTTAGTTTGGCTACTTTGTATTGTGAACCTCGTTTGTTCTTTTCTATAAGTAAGCAATATTTTAATAAATTTAAAGTATTAAATGTTTATACAGATTTACATTTAGAAAGCATGAGTATGTATAAGTATTTATTGTAATAACAAATATACATAAAATCAATGGGATCATCCATAATGCTTATAAAATATTTAGTTGTAATTATCATTTAATATGTTATAAAAGGCTTTTTTATATCATGATTTGATAAAAAGGTATGAAGGTGTTTTTGTGGAAGGAGTTGGGCAGTAAACCCCAATGACCACTGAAACTTAAAAAATGTATTGTAATCTTCAGTTCAAAAATATTGCCCCCTTACTGTAGGATAATATTATCCCTTCTTGTAATGACATTTTAGTTTTACATACATAAATGTCACATGTTCAAACACCCAGATCCACAAGAATTATCATTATTATTTTAGTAGGTCAAACAAATAGTTGTCTTTTGTGGAAATCAAACCATGTCCCCTGCCGCCGAAGCCGACCTTGGCATCAGTACTGCTATCTCAGCATAATATATGTTTATACATAGTCATAATATGAATAGTTTGATTTAATTTTATACATAAAATTAAATGAATATGGAATAAAGGTAAATAAAGTTATAATAATACTTACAAACTTCTCATCTCACTCAGAACTCTTGTGTCTTTATAAATAATATCAGCAACTATATGTATGATATGAGATTCTACTTTTTCGATTGTCAACATTTCTTCATTGTCAGTACAAAGCATTTGCAACTCAACAATATCTCCATTTAAACATTTAATTGCAAATGGCTCAAGTCCTAGTTTACGAGCTCTTTCTGCTAGTGACAGAGAATTACTCTTTAATGGTGCATACTGTAAAAAGTATGAAAAATTCATTAAACTAAGCAGTGTTCAATAAATTTAACACAATTGTGATATAAACTTTATTAATTTTAATCAAAAGTATAAAAAAGTTTGGTAAAAGCCAAAGTTTAATGCATTGTTTTCTGTATTTAGTCAAAAACTCTACCCACATGAAAATGTTGTGATCAATTGTGTTGTGTAAGTAGTCAATTGTTATGATTTCTCTCATTTACTATTTTACATCTAAAATAAGCAAAACACAAGCATTCAAACAAAGTTATAATCATCATATCCTAAGCACATTTTCAGAACAGCATTTTAGCACTTTACTACTTACCTTGATAATTATTATGCATTAAAAAATTGATATATGAACAAGAATATAGATGAAAATAAAAATAGAATACTTATATGTTCAAAAAATAAACAAAATAAAACAATTATGACATACCAAAAAATCAAGTTCAGACAAATTACGAGCATTTAAAATACTTTTCTCTATATCAGGTGTTAGCTTCTTTGATTTTTTTAATGTTTCTATGACAGATTTCACTTTCTTAGTGAACTGTACAACTTTCTGGTAAGTTTCATGCAGCTCTTGAAGACTATAATATACAATAAGACAAAACCAAAACATAATATTTTAATTGTCTTCAGTTTGCTAAACTAAGTTGATAGCAATATATTTCATGGGTACTTTCGGATTATCCCATCAACCTTAGCAGAGTGCCTGGGGGAATCCTTAATATAAAAAAAAATACAATTATGAAACCTGGGTACTTTCGGATTATCCCATCAACCTTAACGGAGTGCCTGGGGGAATCCTTAATATAAAAAAAACAATTATGAAACCTATCAGTTTGAAAAAAAAGTAAATGTTGAATCTAGTTCATCTTCATTAATAAATAATAACATTGTAATAATAAATAACTTTCGGCAATAATTTATAGATTGGTGAAATTGGTTAATGAAATAATCTCAAAATACAATTTTATGTTATATCAATAAATTGCGACTGAGCTTTGTACCCTCGCTATATTCAAGCTCAAGTTTTTGCTAAATGGTTACAGGTTTTAACCTAACTATCCCAAAAATGAGTTGATCTAAACAAATTTATAATTTTTAACTTGCATGTAATATATCAAATCCCTTAAATAAAAAAAATAAAAAAGTTAATAAAGCATATAATTATGGTGTAATTACCGCTCGGGTTTCAAATAGTCCACGACATTTTTACGATATCTGGCGATAAATGGTAAGGTACAACCTTCATTTATTAATGTTACAAATTTCTCAGCTAACTCATGAGTAATATTTTCTTCAAGTGACAAAATCTTCACTTCATTCAAATATTTATCATCAGCTCTTACAGTATTTACATAAATAGGTTCACCTTCCGTCGTTGCTTGATTCTTTTTTACATTTTTTTTAATTTGTAGCAGCTCAGGGTCTTTTGCCTTACTAATACCTGATTTAGAAGATTCCTCACTTTTAGTTCTTGTCTTTTTCGGATTTTTAGTAAATTCACTTTGCAAGGCTTTCTTTTTTTTGCTCACAGAATTTTCAGATCCATCAAGATTTTTCACTCTAGTTTTTTTTGGAGCTTTTTCATATTCCACTTCTGTATTTTCTAACTTTCTTTTAGTGAATCTTTGTTGTTCCATTCTGAAGGCGGTTAAACAGTAAGCACTTGATAGGTACCTATTAGTAATAGTACAAGTGTTATACCATATATATTAAGCTAAGATCATCGACAGTCGACGTCAGGTATATATTTCAGGTAAATAACGATATAAAAGTACTCTGAACAGTTTCAGTATACTATATGTCTTATCTGTTGTTTTAGAATATTTAACATAACGTTTTTGCCTGATTTGATTTTGACGTTTTGAATTGAAAATGAAAATTCAATCACAACATAAACAGTTGGATTTAGGGGTGGTAAAAAAGATAGTACAAAAAATTCAAAAGGATAGTATTTGACAAAAAATTATAGTACACTATTATTTTATAATTAATGCACAAAAAATAAATTATTTTACTCAGAAACTCGCAGAAAATTCTTAACAATTTAAATTATGAATAAGAATGGAACAGCCGTACCACAAAAATAATAAATTATCGTACTATTAGACAGTTATGAACTCTATCAACTACTTCATTGTGTACAACGTAGTCTTTGAGAAATAGGAATATCGAAAAAAAAGTACCAATTACGGTAAGTTAATTGTATCTTGTATTAACTGATGTTCCTTTCAGTCCCAGTCATCTGACGCAGAACCGGTGGGCTAGCCAGAACCCACGGGTTTGTTGGGCCCTCCGATGTGGGTAGGGCCGCGCATGTGCTTATGCGTGCGTTTAACCATGATGTGTCATCTAAAGGCTATCGAGGCAGCGGTTCGGACCGAAACCCCGATGGCCGCCGACTAACAATTAGCTAATCGGTGGCTGGGAGCGGTGAGAACGCGGGTGTACCTTGTATTCGCGTTGTGTTAGTCTCGCCGTCCTCGGAGGCGACGGCGAAGTAGTGTGTTTGTTGTTGCACTAACTGTGGGTGTAGTGTTATCCGGCGGGACCCCCGACGGTGGGTCCGACATATCTAAGTCCCCTTCCTCGACCGGGTCAATTTTTCGGACGACGTTCGAGGACGTTTCGCGGGCGAACCTTGTTGACGTTCGCGTTGGTGTCGGGTTGGTAATTTGCTGCGCTTACCACCAGAGTTGGGATATGTTCGGCTCTATCGAAGAACCGTTTGATCAGGTCTTTAAAATATTCGCGAATCGTCGGGAGTCCGCAATCGCTGTGCAGGTCGACGTTGCGTTGATACTAATGCGCACCGGTTGCGCGGCGGATGAACTTATTTTATACTATTTGCAACTTGTACAAGCGAGAAGGGTGCGTGTGGGCGAAGGTCATGCATGCGTAGAACATAATAGGTACGCAGGTCTTATATAGTAATAATTTGTGCCTTAAGGGCATTTTACTTTTAGCGTTAGTTAAATTGTGTAGCCGGCCGGAGACGAACGCGGCTCTATTGCGAACGTTATTAATGTGCGTAGTAAATGACATACGGGAGTCGAAAGTGACTCCTAAGTAACCTTTTTCTCCCAGGCTATTTGGATATTTGCCCGAAATTTCTGCATTGGCGAGGGCCATTATAAAGATGTGACGGGTAAGTACTTCGTGTGAAGTGAATCGCCTGTGATCTGAATCTAGTTCATGGATTGTTTCTATCGACTCGATGTCGAGCGAGACCTCCTTGAATAAAATGATATCTAGGATACTCGGTGTCACGTGTTGGTAATTGTCCACCTTAGGATACCTAGTGGGAGTCGCAGAAACGATTAGGCCGTGTTTGCAATTTAGATCTCCTGCAATTATCACGGAAGGGCCTAAGTTGAGTAGCGTATCTAGGTCGCTTTGTAATAAGGTTTTGTTCCCCGAGAGGTAGGCTGAGACTAGTACAAGCGCCCTATAGCCGGTGAGCGCTAACCTACACGCGGATGCCTCTATATGGCTTAGCTCTGGAATGTCGAGCGGGCTACAGTGCAAGGACCGTTTGTAATAAATTAAGGTGCCTCCCAGACGGTTTGCTAACCGGTCGTGGCGGACTATGTTGTGGTTTGCGATTCTGGGATCACGAACACTAGGTTTTAAAAAGGTCTCTCGCACTAGAAAAATATCTACATTATAATCGCGAATTCTGCGGTTTCGTCCCTTTGACCCTTAAAGCCGTTTGCGTTGAAATACGAAACAACCAGAGCCCGAGGTTTTGTTCTACCTGCGGTTGTACTTTCCATAAAAGTTTTTTATGAGTTCTAACTAAAGTCGCTTAGGACAAAGATGATTTAATTAAACATGTCAGCGATGTAATTAAGTCGATTAAAAATCTCTATTATTTTGATATTAGAGTAGATTGTTTTTGTTCTCTCGTTACTCGAGATCGACGTGGGTTCCATTCCCACAGCGGCGAAAAAAGGAAAGAAAAACTTTTCTTTCCTTTTTTTTATAAATTTTCCATAAAATTATCGATATTTAAAGTTTATTTCAAAATTTATATATTTATTATTTATATCGTGTCGTATACCTGATCATCGTAAATGTTAACTAATCAGCTGTCAAATGGTTTTTCAAATTTCATTTGAGTTGCCAAAAGGATGATTAAACCCTTTGAATTGACCAGAATGATCTTAATGGTCAGAATGATCAGAATGATCATTTAGAGAAAAATAGTGAAAAAAATCTAAAGATAAATTACAACATTTTCTTTATTTTTATCAAACACCGTTGCACCTCTTGATCCCAGTTCAAATTACATGTTGTTGGCATATATTTTTCGACTGTAACATTAATTTTACCTAAAAATTTAAGGCGAAAATAATTATTTTGTTTCATAAAAAAATTCACTATGATTTTGACAATACAACTTAGATGTTAAGATTAGATAACATTAAAAAATAAAAATAGTCATGACTCTTACCTAAGTGATCTAAAAATTTTGTAAATGTATCTTCATTTCTAATGATACTTGCAATATAAACTTCTGTTAGGGGGTTTCTTTTAAAAAATGTATTAATAACAGTACAAAGAGGCTTCAATATTAATGGATCATAAACAATATCTGCACCAATGATCACATCTGGGTTTTGAATGTCATCTAGATCTTCTATACAATTCCAGTCCAACTTCTTAACACCTGTAAAAAGAGAACTGCTAATAAAGTGGCAAATTGTTAGGATGAAGCACAATATATCTAATAGTATAACTTTTTACTATGCTCTGGGATGTCTAAAACACATGGTAGCACCAATGCTAGCAGAAAGTGTAGACCAAAAATATATTACCTACAAAAGTAAAGTAAATATAATTTTCTAAGTCAGAAGTGATATCATACACAGCCCCACAATGAGCAGAACATTAAAAAAGGGTGCAATAGGATTATACATAATATATGTATAAAGATATACATATAAAGCAGATACATACAATAATACATACACATATTAACACCTCAATTTTGTGGCAACACAAACAATGTTGTAAATTAAAGAATACTACGGACTATTACTACGGAACGGACTACTCCGGACGGACGGACGGACGGACGGACGAACGGACCGACGGACGGACGGACCGACGGACGGACGGACTGACCGACGGACGGACGGACGGACCGACGGACGGACGGACGGACGGACGGACCGACCGACCGACCGACGGACGGATGGACGGACGGACGGAACCCTATAAATGTGTTATTATTTAGTGATAAGTTAAAACAACAATTCCATCAATGTAATCCAAACTGATTTCTCACATAAATAATTAAGTGCATAACAATTCACACCTATTAGTTATAAACTTTTAATATCTATTTACATTCATTGATCATATGTAAGTAGCAGACCCGGCAGAGTGTATAACATCCCTTCTTATATTTGGCCCTGTATTACAAATCATAGTCACAAATATATTGCTTTGTCGCAAAAAATAACAAATTGTAACAATAATGGACATAAAAATTTATGTGAACTCATCCATACTGATATGCTTTTTTTCATTACTAAAACAAGTGGATATAGAAGTTCCATCCTTTTGTAATTCTGGAAAATTTATTGCAATATTTTCTTCCAACAGCTTTAAAACATCTATATGACAATCTGTGATTGTGATGGTTTTGGTAGTACAATGTTTTCCTATAGAAATTCCTGTAAACCCTACACCAGCCCCAAGTTCCAGCACATCTTTGCCATGAAACAGATCTTTATTGCAAAGAATCCAATCTGATAACATAAGGGCAGCCTAAAAAATAAAAAGATCAATTGAAAATATTTTTAAGACCTGCCATTTATTTGAACAGATACAAATTTGACTCTTACCTCCCAAGTTTTCATGCCTGTAGTTCCATTCATAACTATATTATTTGTCTCTTTTATACTTATGACATTGTTTAGGTCACCCTTAAAAATGTAATGCCGATAACAAAAAAGTTCTTTGACACATTTCTTTTTCATAATTGTACATACAAATTCATAGAGACTATCATGAATCTCTTGAAATGGTTCTAAATACCATAAGAGTTTTTTAAAAAACAATCGGCAGAATTCTGAACTTAAAGGAAAGTTTTTGCAAAGGTTATTATGAACAGTTAATTTTAAAAACCTTTCTTGGTTATTCCAGGTAAGTTCATCAATTTCTTCTCTCTGCAATGTTAAAATACGATAGTATTTTTTTATATTGAATTCAAATCAGTAGTAATAATAGTATAATATTTATTGAATTACTTACTGTCAAATCAAATTTAAGGTTTCCACTGAGAAAAAAATAAATAAGTTTTTCTACCATTTTGTCAATGACGGGTATAATTATTAATCGTTTCTACTGCACATATCCAAATGCCAATTTCAACTATTTTTTAATTTAATATACAAAGTGCTACAAAATGCCCCGTAAAAATATAATTAATTATTATCAAAGCCAAAAATTTTATCAACTGTCATGTCAGGGAACAAGATTAATAATTAGAAGGGCATAGTTACGATAGGTATAGGAACCTATTTTACCCATTGAAATAGGGTAAAACTGAGTCGAAGATGTCAGATTAAGTCACACGGTCTGAAGCAAAATGTTTCTCTAAAATGGTGTCGACTCCGCCCACAGCCTATAGTGTTGTTTTGTTAAGTCCATATTGATATCGATGACTATTAATTCTCAATTGTCACAACTAGTTGAAGAGCAAGGGGTGACACTAAAAAAAGAGTATTTTATAAATCTGGTTACTTCAATAAATCGATAGTGGCCGAAATGCTTGATTGAAATACGTAACCAGAGAGCTGCGTAGCCGCCATTGTATAAACATATTCATCACTTGGAATTCGAACCAGTCTACATTGGAAATGACAATATTAAAAATTTAAATTACTAGAGTGATGGGTGCATTTAATCTATTGTGCCATTTACTTTAAACCTCTTAACAGAAATAGATGTATGTGCATAGCAGAATGTAGGATTACAACCATAATGGCACGATTTTGTATTATTTGTTTGAAGACTCCGTCGCGCAATTGCCAAGGTATTGGCTTCGGCGTCGGGGGTCGTGGGTTCGATCTCCAAACGGAACAACTATTTGTGTGACCCACTCATAGTTCTTTCGAATCTGGGTGATTGTCCACGTGAAATTTTTTTGTAAACCGTCATCAACACAGGATGATGTTATCTTAAAGTACGGTAATGCTTAAAAAAAAAAAACTAAAATTCTTATTTGCCATCAGCGTTGCAACAGAATAGGTTATGGTTACAAATAGTTAAATAAAATCAAAAACAATTAGTATATTGATTAAAATCGTTTATTCATGGCGGAATAATATTAATTTTGTAAAAAAGTTTCGCTTTGATACATTTTCTGCGTTTTTTTCCATGAAACTTATATCTAATATCCGAATAAGCTAGGATAATAGTTTTAATCAAAAGCATTTTATAATTGATGAGAGAGCCGTGATAGCTCAGTGTCCGGGCGCTCGCCTTTGATTCAATATACTCGAGCAACCTGAGTTCGATCCCCGGTGCCGGCACCAATGAAGTTTTTAACTTTAAGTGCTAACTTATCACGTGCTCCGCGGTGAAGGAAAACATCGTGAGGAAACCTGCATATTTGGGAAATAATAACAAAAAAATATATTTCAAAATATACTTCGAAAATATGTGAAGTCCGCCAATGCGCAATGGGGCCGCGTGGTGGACTATGCCCTGTTACCCTCTGTATAGAGGAGGCCTTTGCCCAGCAGTGGGACATGTATGGGCTGTTACTTTAGTTTTTTTTTATGATTGCACTCGTGTTCGTAGTTGTTGCTGTTAAAAAATCAAAATGCTCCATTAAAAATAATTTTCTGGCTTTGCTTTTAAAGTTATTCTGGAGAGGAGAGTTATTCGGCGCATTCCTCTAATAAAGTAGCACCTTCATGAGGAACTAGATTATGTTTCTTCAAATTGTCAATAATCTTTTGGAAAGTCGACACCTTCTGCTTCAGTCTGCGGCACTTTTGACTGAGTATTTTTATTTTCTTTTGCTGTAACTTCACTTTTCGGCATAATTTTTGGACTTTTTCGGTTGCATTAGCTGCCATAGTCTAAAAATTAAAGTGCAATTATAATTTACCATTTAACATTTTATTTTATACAAAGGGTTAGGAGAGAATTAACAGAGAAGACTCATGCTGTGCAGTAGAACATAAATAGGGATGAAACTATAAAATTTCATTAAAATATATGCTGAAAGTAACGTATCGTGTCAGCAGGATAAGTAGGATACTAGTTAAAGACGATAATGCTATTGTTGATATAGAAGTTAGAAACACTCACCTTAGAGTTTTCATCTGAATTTGTCGTATTTTGTTTCAGTTGGCTGTTTATCGTATCTATCTCCATAGTTGTCGGGTGAATACAGACGGGAATAACGTCAATATCTTTTGTTACGTGCTGCAAATTTTGATAATTGTACATTAATAATAATAATTTTCTTTTATATGTGCGATATATATCTATATGTTTAGTTTTATTTTTATAAACCTAACGAACAGAACTAAAAGAAACTTGCTCAAGCGAGAATAGTGTACTCTAGTTTGTACTTACTATAAATACATTTTAGTCATATGAATCAAATATGCATTTATACATATAGAGGCCAAGACAACTCCTGCTATTCAGAATCACATATTCTACATAATACAAGCTTTGCAACTCATATGAAACATCATGATATGCAAAACTATAATTTGGCCTTTATCATAAAACATGGAACAACAACAGGACTTGACAGAAGAAAAACTTACAGGAAAGATTGTAGGGACGACATCATCTTTTAAGCGCACCACACCCAATGTTCTATTTACACAAATTGCCTCAAAATGTTTAGAGCATATTCTGAGGACTCTTGCAGGTTTTATATTTTCAGTGCCTATGTTTTCCATCCATAATTGGCGTAGAGCCTCATTATTTGGAAATCTAAAAAATTTAAATATTAAATGTAATTAATTGAATACAATACAGCGAACTTACTGTTAAAAAAAAAATTATACTTCATATTTTCGATGTCCCATAATGATGTATAGTTGTATTATTTCATTTTAATGAAATGACTATCAACACAACTTCGTGGTAACGAACTTGATACTTTGAAGCCATAAAATAAAGTATCGATAAAGTTTTCGAACCATGCTACGAACAACACTGATTTCATGTAAACATTGCAAATATTTACTTGTTGGCTATTTTACTGGTTAGTAGTAGTAAGAAGAATACAATAACCGATAACTTAATGTAAAATATAAACTGTCTGTTACATACACATACGAAAAAGTACAAAAAAATACAAAAACTGGAACTAACCTAAAAAATGACAATCCTTCGTTGTTTTTTCTAGCATTCGAATAACATCCTGTGATGCAACACTTTGCCATGTTAATTTTTTTTCCTTTACAAACACTTCAGAAACCACCAGAACACAAACAATTCACTATTAAAAAGAAAACAATATTCGAACAGCAATTATTTGACAGTCTAAGTACTTAGCAAAAGTGAAGACCTAAAATGGCGGTATGTCATAAAATGTGCTTCAAGGCGGGGCTTAGTGACGTAACGGAAAACTAAAACAAAAATTTGAAACTCGTGACATGTACTGTTCTCTTTATATATTAATTGTAAATTACAACGCGTTACGGTGAGAAAAATATGTTTTTGTAATTAAGGTATTTTGTAATTAATATATGCATCCTATTTGTATAAGGAGAAATTGATGCAATGAAGTACTATCCTCTTGTATTCTTTTATCAATGAATTTACCTAATAACTGTCTACTTTAATGGTTTTTCTATTTTTCATTCATATTCATAATGTTTGCTTCATCAATACAAGGATGTCATTATACTCAAGGACTGACTTCAAAAAATGTAAAGTTGGAAAAAAAATATGTCGGCTTGCCGACATTCATAAGGAGGCATCAGTTACTTGATGCCTCCTTATGAATGTCGATATGCATGATAACATCGATGCTTGATAACATTGCTTGACGATGAAAGCTTACGCATTGCTGTAGGAATCCGTCTGGGGGCACCGATTTGTCAACCATACCAATGCCCTTGTGGTGTCAGTGTAGACAAATTTGGTCTCCACGGGCTTTCTTGTCAAAAAAATGGGCTCTTGTTCCATCTATTTTAGAGCCCAGTGGCATGGTTTAATATTGATCCCTTGGGAGAGAGGCAAAGCCCTTGTTTGGGATGCCACTTGTGTAGAAACTTTGGCTGCCTCTCATCTAAGGGGTACTTCGGTCAGGGCCGGGGCGGCATCGGAGGCAGCTGAAATAAGTAAATGGCGCAAATATGAGTTTTTATGTTTAGATTATGTATTTGTGCCATTTGCTGTTGAAAATTTAGGTCCGTAGGGTCCACGCACATTGAAATTTTTTAAAAGTTTATGTCCTAGGCTTAACGCCGCGGCTGGTGACAAGAGAGCTGGTTCCTTTCTCGCTCAAAGGTTAAGTATAACTATTCAACGAGGAAATGCAGCTAGCGTTCTTGGCACCATGCCGCGTGGATTAGGTTTATTAGATAATATGTAATTTTAGATAGATTTAATCTTGTAAATATTAGATCAATAAAGTTTATAAATATCAAAAAAAAACATAATTATGATTTGTCTGTATGGAGATATCCCCAAGGAGCTACACTATATAAATAAATAGTAATAATATCAGTTATCTATGACATTGGGAGTGAGGTGTATTTATCGTAACAGGTAAATATATAACAGGTATCTAGATTGTTACAAGCTCTTTCTTTTTCTTGTATCGGTCTTATAGCTTTGTTAGTAAGAGAAGTATGGACGGACCATAGAGTAACAT